CGTAGGCCCCTACTCTCACCCACGAGTACGTTCCCGAATCTAAGGAGAAGCCCTTCCTGAATCCTTGCCTTGTCGTAATTGTTACCCACACGATCCCAGATGCTCCATATATGTTTATATCATAAAAGTAAGATCCCAAATCAAACACCGGTCCCGAGAAAAGTATCCCTGGAAATCGCCCCTCCCCCCCTTCCCTTCCTAATGAACCAAAAACAAGACCTTTTCCATGCCGGGATCTTAATCGAGACGGCCATGTGTAAGGGTAACCATCGCCATGGACTCCCCCTAGCCATCGCTGTTGGGATCATGATCAAGTGCTCGATCCGCGCCCCTTATCCGCGCCAATCTGCTGTCCGTCCTCAGATCCGTCCAGCAGAGGGTCGCCTCCAATGTGCCGCACAATGCCGAAAAAAGAAAAGAAAGCGTCTCGTCTCGACGCCGGGGTATAATAATATCTAATTCCACAGGATCCCACGAGAAACCCATCAACACAAAAGAAACGCAAATAGGACAAGATGTAGCTTCGTACACGTAACACCTTTTTTTGAGTAGAGGAGAGCGGACAAAATCCAAAACACAAAGTGCCGCCAAACATGCAGTTCAAACACGACCCGGCATTGGATCTAGTGCAAGCTCCTCGAATCTTAGAATAGTAAAGATACTGCAATCGAATGTGGTCTCAATGACTCAACATCTCGATTGTGCACATGTCAGCCAGGGGAAATCACTTCCCAATAAATGGCCGTTCTTTGTTCTTTGTAAACCAGCAGGACGTTTCCATTACGGTTTAATATCCGTTTCGAACGTCATAGTCCCCATACTGGTTACGCTGGTCGAATTTCATGCCGCCAGGACCACAGCCATCTGGAGGTGCGTGATTGCCCATTTCAGAGGGAGCGTACGGATCTGGATATTCCGGCTGCTGGCTCATGAGAATCGACGCATCTGCCATGTCGATATCTGTGCTCGAAGTACTGCTAGCCATGGAGTGAAGACTCCTCAGGTCATCCGCGATGATGCCGTTATCCTGGGGCGGCGGCATCATAGAAAATTGTTGCTGCTGCCGTTGCTGGATTGCTTGTTGGTGAGCTTGTGAGTTATAGTAGGTATTGGGGTCAAACATCGCAGCGTTCTGATGTCCCCGGAATGCTTGCTGCGAGCTGCTGGGTAGAGTGTGCACTGGAGGCCGAGCTGATCGGCCAGACCTCACCGGCGCCCGTGTAGAAAAGGCTCGACGCTGCGAGGCATAGTAGTTAGCCAGTTGGGGGTTTGGGGGTGCGCCCCTGGATATCCTGAACTGGAACTGGTCCGGATCAGACATCGTAGACTGTGATGAACGAGGACGAGATGTATGTCCAGGAATATGCATGCGGCATTCATCCTTGGTCAAGGTTGGGAAAGTATCCTGAAAGTCCCTCTCGCTAGCTGGATCGGTTCCCAAAGCAATTGCATATTGTATTAGAAGATTCAGATCGCCCAGGTGCCTGGTCTCAAGACGTTTCCTGAGAACACCACTTGTTTGAGGCTCCCAGAACAGTTTGTTCCTCTCCTCCTCTGGCCAGGCACATCGCACCCATGTCTCGATGACGCCGCTTTGCCGTAGTAAATTACGCATTCTTGTTGAATATGTCCACTCCCCACTTGTGGCTCCGTCGTCGAGATGCTTCACCACATGTGCGACGTACTCCTTGAATGTACCCTCCGCATCTTGGTCTGACGCAGCCTCAAATACCTCTGTGCATGTCTCAAATCCACAGGCGAAGATAGTCTGGGGGCATAACGTAACCTTGGAATCATCCAGATTTGTCCGCGATCCGCCATGCGCCTGCTTGAGATGTGTCTTGTACACCGTCTGCCAGTCAAACACCATATTACACCCACGGTGACGGCAGAACCACTGGGCATTGGTATTGTGGAAATCCTCCATATGACGCTTCAGATCGTTCTTCCGTGTGCAAGTCTTCTGCACGCCTTCCTCTTTACAGAAACCGCACATGAACGTCCCGCGCTGCTTTGCTCCTCCATTGGTCGCTGCAACCCCAGCTTCACTCGATCGGGCTGCCCCACCATCGATGGAATCCACTTGCGACGTTGAAGCCGATAGGTTTGACAGTTGAGTGGGTGAGTGCGGCAATGGCTGCGGTAGAGAGGTGCTGCTACCGTTGTGCTTTCGGCTCAGGAACTTGGCGGTTCGGGCGGAAACGTTGGAGATGATACTCCCTCGTGTCGATGACGTATCGGAGTAGGCGCGCGTGCTGCTGGCCGAATCGAAAATACTCGACGAGTCTTCGGATTTGACTGAAGAATAGGTGCTATTAGTGAGGATTGATGCGCCATCGTGACCTGCAGTGACGACGCCGATGTTAGCGGAGGGAGCCCGCTTTGGAACAAGAGATGGTGACAAATGTGATGTGACGGGAGGGATCAAGGCCGACAATCTTCGGTAAGCCACAAAGGATAGTGCGAGGGGTGAAGGCGAGAGCAAGCCACTGGTCCATATGCTCTACTACTGCCAGACGGTGCCAGGAAACGCCCATGATAAGGGAGATGCGAGGGAAACAGATGCTGTACATACCTGCTAATATCGGGGACGACGTCTCTTCCTGCATGAGCCGCGTCAGGCCTTCTGCGGTGTACTTCTTCATGAGATGCCGGAGCATCTGCCGGTCCAGCTGGTCATCGTGCGACGCCGAGGCAGGCGGCGAGGAAGATGAAATGGAAGAGGTGTCAGACGGCGGTGGTTGCTGTTGCGGCATCTGCTGGTGCTGCGGTTGCGCCGGGCCTGGGTTCCGGTGATGCTGTGGAACGGCGCCATCGTGGGCAGCGTCGGCCCAGGGATCGGGCGCCAACGTATTGAGAGACATTCAAAATACCGTTGGGGCGCAATGGTCACGACGTTTGGGATGGGAGATGGCCCAATTGACCGGCTCTTGCGGGTGGCTGCCTCACAGAGGGAGGGCCTGCGTAATACCAGCGGGCGGATTGGTGTAAATGGACGTGCGCAGCTGCCTGACAGCCGTTTCCACAGAACCGGTAAGCTTTGGAGCTGGCCAAAGCCTCCGCGGAGAGGGAAACTGGGAGAAGTAATGCGACAAAGGAAGAATAGAAGAAAAGGAAAGTGAAAGGAATGAAAGATTTGAAACAACGGTAGGCGGCGTGCAAGGCTGGCAGAGAGGTGTGGCTTTTTTTGGGCGAAGGGGGCACGATTGGGCCCCCAGAAAATCACCAATAATTACCAGCTGGAGCCAGTGAATATATCGTGTATCGGCGGGGAGAATCGTCTGGAAGGGGCATAGGCTACCCCAAACCACAGGGCGCAGGGGTCGATTGATAGCGGAATTTAGAGTGTGTGTGAGAGCGTGTGTGTGGGAGGGTGAGGAGAGGAATGAGTCGAGCAGCAAGCCAACGGGTCGGTAGTCATGGAGACAGCAGAAGCAGAGGCCAGAGAGGACGAAGCAGAGTTGCGACAATGACGGCAACGACGGGCGAGGACAATGCTGCCCGGAGGCGCTGTTCGAGGCATTAGGTATCTGATAGAGGAATGAGATGATGTTGGCAAGGCTCCATCGTATCTCGGCCCATCGAAGGGGTGCCACTGGGGTAAGAGCCACTGGCTGCGCTTGGACTGGCTGGAGACGGGCGGGTTGATGCCACAAGTGGCCAAGTTCCTTATCTCTGTCGCATGGGGCAGTGTTCACGAGTTAAGTTACAGGGTCTGATTAATGGGACCAGTGCCGGTCCATGTAGGCGGTACATCGGCCACTGGGCTAATTGATTTGTGTGGGTTTCTCGTAAGGTGCATGTCAGCGCCACTACGTAATGATTTTTATAGGGGCCAGAGCGCTGTGACGCTGCTCGCGATAAATGCCATTCCTTGTCCCCGATCGCTACCCTGGAGCTCACAGACAGGTACCCGTTTCCACGCAATGCTCGGGCATGCCGTATTCCCACTTTTTGCTGCTCAGTCGTATATCCTACCCCGGATTCTGGCTGTGCTTGTGCTTGCCGCCTGCATTCGTTGACAGCGATGTGCGGGCGCACGATCAGGAACACGGGATATCCCATCGACCTCGAAGGTGAGATGTCGACTGAGGATCGGCATGGCGGTTAGATGGTGGCTGATTACGCAAGTACCCGACTATGGTACATGAGTAGGTACATCTTGAGCTAAGCACACTGCGTTACCAACCGATCAGCCCTCGGCTACCCAGTCCTTATCAAACGAGTTGACTACATATCAGACAAAGCCCCCAGAGACTGCGACTCCAGAACACCCGGTATCTAAAATGGTCCTGTGCGTCGCGGAAAGAAGGTGGGCCTGGACCAATGGGAGGCCGGATGCAGCGATAGGACGGTGGCATTCTCCAGCGCAATGGCTTGGGCCGATAGACAGGTATAGCGGTAGTACCGCACCGCCTTACGTATCGGATTCGTCCCCCCCCACGTTTTCTGGGATCGTGCCGACACACCATTAGTCTTTGTGCTTACTCACGTAGCTCTCTATTAGTCGCTCTATTAGCTGGGCCGTGATTTCCATGACACACGATTCAGCACCGAGGCCGAGTGCATCCGGGTTTGCAGGGGCCCAACCGGGTTCGAGATGGCCGCTGGACCGGCGGTGATTCTGCTACAAGATGTGGTAATATAAACACATTTGTGTCTGAGAGAGACGAGAGAATCCAAGCATGGGCGGTCCAGGTCCACTATAGAGTGTCACGAGTATGTACCTGGGCGACAATGTGCATACCTGGGCATCCAGGCTAAGGCACCGGCATATATCTATTATCTAAAAGAAAACACAACCCTCGAAGAGGCATGCATGCGGGAGCCAGAGGTCGGGTACGTGTACATTCTCTCTTCTCGCAGATGTAGAAAGTACAACAACAGCACCGTTGATTGCTACGCGGAGTCTGGGATCTTGCTACCTCGCAGGTCGTTGGTAAAGCCGTCTGATGCATGTGCGTGTCACCAGCGAATGAGTCTCGGTACTTGAGGGTGTATCAGTAGTTGATAAGGCATTTTAGCACCCAGTACCTCTCTAGAGAGCATCGCACACCGCCAGTAGCGAGCAGCTCGGGGGTGTATGTAGGTACTAGGTAATTGAAGGCACCATCACCGCCATGCAGAAAAAGAAAAGAAGCGCTGCGAGAAATACAGCAATGTCGGCCTTTCTGTCGGGCAATACCACCACCCTCCCGGACCTGCAATGCCAATCAGTCATGAATTACGGAGTAATCACCTCGAATAAGCCTCTCTGCTCGCGGGCTGGACCAGCATTCCTGGCCAACAGCGGGCTGGGCTGAGCGTGCTGATAAGAGCAAGACGCCACAGGCTGGCCATCGTCACACAGAAGATGGGAAAAGGAGGGGAGGGTGGAACCTCACCTCACCTCGCCTCACCCCCCTGAATCCCCTTTTGACTCCCATTCCTGCCACACCGGCTTTCTTGCGTGCTCGCTGACCGCAATGATGAGGTCGCTGTTCTTCGTCCCCTGATCCTCGCTCACCACCATGGCTGGACAATTGGTGTTGGAGAGGCAATCCGGGACTTGACTGTCTGCACTGGATGCCAGGATGCACTACAGGGGACGGAGATGGGCCCGGCGACTGGGTGGTGCATGTCAAGTCATTCCCATCTTGGCGATAAGGTTGGTGGAATATGGAGCAAGGGATGATAAGCAGCGCAGCCCAGTCAAGCAAGGTTGGTAGGTAGTAATCGCGAATAGCTCGCCCATGGCGCGCTCTACGGGCTAGACTCATCGATACTCGGAGCCCCGGAGGGCTGGCTATGGGTGTTTAGCTCAAAGCAAACAGGGCTGTCGCTGGATGCTCCGTGGCCCTAGCCTTGGGATGATTGATGCTGATGATAAATTCTCTAGATAGCAAAGAGATAGACACAACCGCTTGGGTAACTCCAGCCCCCTTTTGACTTTCCTCCTCTAGCTTAGGCACATCCGCCTCACCTGCTCTCCTGGGCAACAGGGCCAAGACGTGGAAATCATGCATTACACCACCTTATCTTGGACGACGTAGACGGCGCTCCCGTGGCCAGGCCTGCTCACCACGACCGCCTGCTCCTTCTGCTCGCCCGACAGCTCCCTCTTGGAATAGTACTCGCGCTCCAGGGCCTCCTCCACATTCGCAACTCTATCTGCCGGCACCAGGTGTACCGTGCATCCACCCCATCCGGCCCCCGTCAGTCGGCTGGCGTACGCCCCGGCTCCACGCCCGATCTCGCAGATTTGGTCCAGCTCCGCACAGCTGTTTTCGTACAGGGCCCTGCTCGAATCCTGCGACTCGTTCATGAGCCTCCCCAGCTCCTGGTTGAAGGCCGTCGTGTCCGTCGCCCCGGGCTCGACCGACCGGTCCAGCACCGCGAGGAACTGGAGCACGCGGAGCGCCTCCGAGAAGACGTGGAGCGCGCGCTGGCGCAGCTTGAAGCGCTCCGCCCGCACCGGCAGCTTCGACATGAACCGCTTCTCGAGGTCCGCGACGCTGATGCCCAGGACCTTGGCGACCTCCTCCCGCGTGTATCCCTCCTCCTGCGTCAGGGTCTCCTTGACCACAGCGATCAGCCTGTTCAGCTCCTCCTCCTTGCTGATGCTCTTCGGCGCAGAAAGGTCGGACGCGGTCTGGTGGTAAAAGTAGTTATCGTGGAACCCGTGGAGGCTGATGCCAAGTGGTCCAGCATCTTCGGGGAGCGGCGTGCCTGGGGGGTTGAGCACGGCGTTCAAGTAGGCGGCCGCGATGCTGACCTCGACTACGCGGAGATTGTAATTTATCGGACCCGTGACTTGCTTGTTCGATGTGACGAAGGATTGAGCCACGAGGAAGCAGAGCTCGGGGTGCGTAGGTGGGAACTTGATGGGCTTCGCTTCGAGGCTGGGGCTGAAAGACACGAGCAAGGCAGAGCCTTGCTCAGAAAGTACAGAGGCTGATTGGTCCATGCTGCGAGGAGAGTCAGTCCCGTGTCAAGTTGAAGTTCTGATACCGTCTCATCGTGATGCTTACCCTCCAGAGTTGACACCAACAGCACGCTCGCTCACAATGGCGAGCTCTGTTAGCTCCTTCTTGTCCACGCTCTCCTCACCGTTGGCCAGCAGGACGGTGAGCGCACTGGATGTCACAAATGCAGCACTCGAGCTCAGTCCACCTCCAATGGGGACGGTCCCATCCATGAGCAGATCGATATCGTGAAGCTTCACATCCGTACCTCGTTTTTTCCTCAGTAGTTCCAGTGCGCCCCGCAGCCCACTCTTGAAGTAATTGCTCCATTCAAACACCGTGGCGTCGATCTCAAACCCACCGTCGGCCGGTAATGTAAACTCTCTGGCGGGGAATTTGGCATCGTCCACGTTCGCGATGCGGATACGGAAGCTCTCTTGTGAGCTGGACGGTTTGGCAGAGAATGCGAGGAGGCAGTCTGCCGTAATGGCCATGGGCAGGACCGCGTAGAGGGAGTAGTCGATGTGCTCGCCGATGATATTGACGCGGCCGGGGGAGCGCGCGACATTGGAAGCTCGGTAGCCATACTTCTTCTCGAAGCCCTGGAGAAGATCATTCCACCGTGGCAGCTGCGTTGGCAGAGCAGTTGGGGGGTAGATGTCGGCCAGCGCCTTTGCTACAGGCACAGACCCTGCCATGGTTTTTTGCTTCGGATATGGCTTCAACAATGCTGCTTAGAAAAGGGATGTAGAATTTCTGAGTTAAAATCAGTACGTTTCGCAGGCAGCCGTTGACTTCCGTCTCATTTCACACAAACCTGATCATCACTCGATTGAAGAAGGTGATGGCTTGTACCCCGCAAAATGCCCCTCACTCGTGGTTTGTCGGGCCGATCACTCACAAGACAACCAGCCTCAGCGTGCAAGGATTGCTCTTTCGCGCCAACTGCACCTTGGGGACACGTCTGGGATGGGAATTTAGACAGCTGGAAATGCTCTCCTTCTACTGGGCCGCGTTGTGCTAGGGAGCTGTTCCTTGCACTCCGCGCTTCTCGGCATGTCGTTGCACCGAGGTGAGAGACCCGCCATCACGTGTTGTTTCGTCCGACACTCTTCTTCAAATATTTTCCTCTGTGCACCCTTGCTTTAGGATGGCTAGCTGTCTGAAGTCCATATAGAGTTAGCTACAATCTGCCAAGCAGCGTCCTTCGTCTCATGCATAGCATGAAACATCGGAGACGTTCCCAGTCACTTCATGTAATAACTTAAGAGACTAGGATATTCTACTCCTTCCAGGCATGAATGACGCATCTCCCAAGCCTTGTTTAACGTATGGGCTGGGTTGCCATGGTTCCACTGCGGGAACAGACATCACTGGGTCGCCTCTATTTGAAGAACCTCAGCTTTGACCACAGAAGAGGGTGTATTATACGAACATATGGATATAATGGGCTCCTGTAAAGGGAGTGAGTTCGACATTAACCATAAACGAATGCTATTGTTAAGGTGATGCCTGAGAAGCCTTTGAGTATGCAGTGAACTGCTTGTTCTTTACTGAACACCTGCGCAACAATATGCAGAAATTGTCCAGACGGGGAGGCAACACGGCCAGAGAGATTGTGAAGTTCTTCTGACTATTGAACAACATTGGCTTGAATTATGAACACACCGTTGTGATAGCAAAGCCAAGTGGCTTCCATGAAGATGAAAACTGGCTCTCGGGTGCTTGCAGCCGTCGGCGGTGTTGTGGTGCGATGCCCGCCATGACCAACTCTAGAGCCTCGACGGCTTTTCTTTCCTTCCTTCCCTCTCTCGCCCAATAAACGCAAGTGTGTATCTTATTTGTTTGCACAATATTTAACACTAGTTTAGAGTGCAAGCAGAACCCGCAGAGGAAGGCAAGTGCTCCCTAGCAGGCCCCCAACACAAGCAGCCAAAACATTCGAGGCGCTCTCAGGCGAAGATACTCCAACCAACTCTAGGAATCCCATGGCCACCTAGAGCAGCAAACTCCCATCTGGCTATTCACGAAGATGGCGTCCTCCATTATTAACAATCAGCGATCTGGCACCCTGTACATCACTATTTCTATCCCACCTCTACTCGCATACCAACGACCAAGCACCCTTCCATATCCTACCCATCTTCCCCCGGATTTCGACGTCACAAACTACGAGCTCGAATGTGCCCACGGCTTCGAAAATGAAGAGTTCAGCTGGGGCTTGTACTTCAAACACGATGAGAGCAACGGCACTTGGTACAATCTCCGGAAAGTCTCGCCGCTCAGCATCGATCGGACGATGCCAATCCCGCCAGCCTTCGAACTGGTCAAGCAAGATCTCCCCATTGGGACCCTCCGCCTGAATGCAATGGTCGTCGGCCTCATCCGCGTCTTCGCCGAGGAACCGGGGGCCAACACAGATGCCCACGCGGGGGGGCTTCGCTCCTACCTCGACTGGCTGACTGCCAACTTGGCGATCCAAGCCACCAGGTCGTTCCTCTGGGTTGTGAGTGCGTACGTGCGATGCCGGCAGCATGTTACCAAGGCCCACGGCCTCAGTGACTCGGGCACCTTCGACATCAGTCGCTTTCTCCAAGAGGCCTTGACCTTTGCCTACCAGGAAGTGTGGTACGCCGTCGGTGGGCAGTTACCCCGACCTATCATCATTTCGCATCTTGGAGCTGCACTCGTGAAGGATGAGTTTATCGATGGGAACCGTACGGAGGAAGTTTTGCAGAGTGTTGAGAAGGACGCCGAGAAAGTCCTCGATGTCACCGACGAGAGTCACTGGCCCAAGCTGCCCGACAGGACCAAAAAGACCAAGTGATGGGTCTGTCTCATGTTGATCTGGGCTGAGAGACAAAGCTGGAGCCGGAGCACAGATCAGGTGGCCGTAGTCAATCATGTGGCAGGGTGACTTATGATAATTGCAGAATTAGAAGATCAATAATAGCGGTGAACTTCCAGAAATGATCTGTCAAGTGGGTGACATGAAAAATGAGACACTCGAACATTAAGCTGCATATTCTCGAGTTTGTGGCCGGTGTTATCAGATTATTGAGTACTAATGATACCAACTTCAGAGACAATACGGCATATATTATTACTATATTTCATTTCATACTACTGTATTTCTCGATTCAAATTAGAAGAGAGTCTCTTTTTAATCACTCTTCCATTTTGGTATTTCATTTCTCATGTCACCCACTTGTCTGTCTACTTGTGCGACGGCTGCAAGTAAGCCGGAAGCTGTTGGCCCGGCCAATGTGATCTCGGGCGTCTTCACGCAACCTCGGTCTGATATCTGACTGGCATGCAAGGTTTACGCAATGGGGACGGCGAGATGAAACATTCTGCCTCAAACATGCTCTCGCCAAGCGACAGGCCAGGCCGGAGACCCTTCTCTTCTCGTCCCGGGCCGTACTGAGAAGACCTGAATCAGGGAAAGCCATGGAAACATCATCCCCGACGCGAACTTTGTGATGCCTGCGAGACTTTTGCGATTGGAGAAGGAGCTCGATTGCCCCGTCTGGCGCTAAGTCTACCCCAATCGCGCTCGAGGGGTTTTCGCCGTCTGCAGAAACTCCCAGCACATCGACATGCCCACGACGTCATTGGCATTGCCACAGGGCGGGAAGGCACAAATCCCGCTGCACTGACTGCTCCTTCCCCCGCGAAAATGATCGTACATCTCGCCTGCTTGCCCCCTCATTAGGTAAGGGCGCAGAATGAGAACGGAAGGTCCCCCCCTCTTACTTCCCCTCTCCAAGGTATTTAAACTCGGGCTTCCTCTGTTGTCATCTCCACCTGACCTTTCATCATCACACTGCCACTGCCAACTCGAAGTGCCTTGAAGCTATCACCAATACCAATACCAATACCAATACCAAACCAAAAACCTTCCAACTACAAACAAACCAATCTTCATCATGGGTGACTGCGGCTGCTCCTCGTCCGGCTCCTGCAACTGTGGCTCTGGCTGCACTTGTGCCAACTGCCCTGTAAGTCTACATTATCCTGGCCTTCTAATTCTGCTATGTGACGTGGGATTTGCTAACGACTTGCCTTGAAGCACAAATAAATGGCTCCAATGCCACCGACTATCTGTCGCTATGGTCGCCGATCTGGCATGAACTGGGGATTTGCGAGAATGGAGTATTTGGGATTCGGGAATTCAAAGGTCTTTTCTCTCTAAAAGACACATTACCCTCCTTTGTGTTAGTCTATGGGACGAGAACACTGAAATTAGGATTGAATCGAAGGGGTCTACAGACTAAGTAGCAATATACCATATTGGACCCATCCATCCTCCCCATTTTCATCCTCCCCATTTTGATATTTATCCAACGTGAATCATGATATACTCGTTCCCAACTCGTCTATCGTACGCTTTCTGGAAAGAATGCGAGGACCGGGCTCAGCGCCGCCTCGTATATCTGTCGCGTCTGCTCCTCCTCGTCAATAATATCCATCTCCTCGTCATCCGCGTATGGCTCCCCGTTGACTAAAACCTTCCAACCCTTATCCTTCTTCCAACCCCACCTCTCCCAAGTCTCTGTCGCTGCCTCGAGGGTCAGACGGCCTGTGTAGATGATAGCGGCAAGGATCGATACGACAAAGTTCGCCCGTGCTACGTGACACGCCAGTCTCGTCGAGCTCCAGCTTTCGCCACAGCAACGTTCCAAGTACCAGGGATGCGAGGATGGGTGTTTAGAATCCGAGTAGTCTGCCGAATTCTGTCCCACCAGGACCCATATCCAGAGCGAGGAAAGTAGAATATCGTAAATGATAGAGGCAGCACGAGGGAGGTATCCGAGCGGTTGCATTCCAGCACGAATAATGAAGATGACGAAGGACAGAGCTGCGATACACAGCTGCGAGTTTGTCAACCTGTTCGCTGTCAGCACATCGTATGGAAGATGACGGTGCCAAGTGTACCAGCCTCTTACCTCTGCGACCAGATCAAGGGTACCTCCGGCGGCTCCTCGTAGTTGGCATAGTAGTAGATCCGCTGTTTCGGGTCCGAGTTCCAGCCCTGGGCGCCTCCGTTCTCCCAGAGCCTGGAGCGAAACCGGTCAGGATAGCCCCAGAGACAGAGTGCAAGGGCGGTAACGGCGACGCAGAACTCGGCCACCAGCAGAGCGGCGTGAGCTATTCTCCTTCGCGATTCCATCATCTTGCAAAAAATCTCCATGCGCCAGGCCATAGCAACACTGACATCGACTCGTTCCCTCGTATATATCCATGGCGATTGCAGGGACCCTGCTGGAAACTTGCTCATTCTGCCTCAGGTCGATGGGGAATACCCATCAAATTTCTCACGCGATCGGTTGGCCGTGACACGTGAGAGGAGATTGTATGAAGAGAATAACGGATGGTGAAGATACTGTAATATTTAGGTCTTCCCATGACAACGTAGCCTTCTTTTGTACCTACGTAGAAGAATCCATCAAAACAAGATTCGGCGGGCTCTGCTGCTATTGCGGCCAAATCTGCTGGGAAGGTGGCTGGGTGAAGTAAACCATGCAGCTAGAAAGCTTAAAATAAACAATGGCACAGCGGGGAGGAGTCGATAGGATGCGAAGCGAGCGGCTAGGAAGGTCTTGTGAGATACGCTTTGTGGGTTGGCGTATTGAGGATCCGGAGTTGACTCCATTTGAGCTTGTTTGCTCGATGAAGTGGAGAATGTTAATGATCTTGGTCCTCGACCCTAGATCCCTAGATCCCTCGTTCATATTGATCTTGTCAGAAGCCTGCAGTAGCTCTGCTCTGGACCGCCGTGTGCTGCTCTCGTCCATCGATATCGTCATGTTTTAGTCTCCTGCGATCTATTGATGGCCCGGTCTACCACCTCAGTAGCGAGAATGGGATGCCTTAGCTGGAGGGCTTCGCCTGCATATTTTCTATAGGTACTTACCTAGAGATGAGTTATCCAGCGGCATTAAAGCAGCGCAAAAAAGTAGATTTATGTCCGTTGAGGCTGATGATTAACAAGGGTACACACTTAATATCCTATTCATCATCAGTATGAAACGGTAAAAGAGATGATTCTTTTCAATTTAGCTTGGCCCTCGAGAAATCTTGTTGTCACCGGCAGCTATGGCTAAGCGCTGTGGCTTGCAGAATACACCAAGTACAAGGAGTTTTCCAGCCGACAGCCCTTCATCAAGTCGAAATTCATGCATCTTGGCCAAATCATCGGCAATGATATCGACCATAGTGGGCGAGTATTCAAGAATTTTCCTCCTCGTCGACGCCCTTGATGAATGCCTGTCATCAAATGGCTGCAGAAGAAGACTCCTCTCTGAACTTTCCAACCTCCTGACAAGGCACGACGTAGATATTCATTTTTGCTACCTCCAGATGCTTTTCAGAAGTTACGGGATTTACTCATTTTGGCAGCTGCTACAGACGAGATCATATTATCAAGAGGCTTCTCGCAAGAGGAGCTGTAGTAACGATGTTGAATCCGATTGAAGAACTACAATCTACTTCTCATCCAATAGCAAGGGTCGAGAGACTGTTCGGTATCTGAAAGCACCAGGGGCAGATGATATTGTTACTGCTTCAATCTTAGGACCATGATAAAAAGGAAAGTGCATTTATCGGAAGGTAAGAACTAGCTACTGGTAGCTTTTTATTCCTTTCAGGAGGGAGAACAAACCAACGACAGAACGACATCTAATAACGCCTCTTAGCCCTCCATGTCCATTCCGTATTTTTGTTTGAATCCTTTCAGCACTAATGGTCATGCTACGTTTGATGATCAGGATCTAACGACCTCTGCGCCAACAGCATAATCTCCTTAGCCGCCTTGATCATCTTGTCCAAAATCCATTTCCAAGTCCTAACAGAGAAATCATCAGCCATTTCCTCATACGTTTATAGCGGAGAATAGGAAGTTGTACCCATAGATAACGCTACTTGCACTTGCTCCCGCAAAGACCTGGCCGACGAAGAAAGCAGTCGTGTTGGGTGCCACTTTGCAAAACGTAGAAGTGGCATGATATAGAATGGCACTGGCCCAGAGAAATTCTTCGAGTTTGATTTTGTCGCACAAGGCAACGCTGCAAGTATAAAGGCCGAATTAGATGGACTCTTTGGCGCGATTTCTGTATGCAGTTCCCAGTCGCACTTACATCGGTAATGTGATAGCTCCGAGAATAAAAGGCTTGTCGACCGTATCAGATCTTGTAAGCCTTTCTGTAAGATCTCTCAATGGTTGACGGTAGATGCAGTAGTACATAAACACACTCCAAACCAGGCCAACGACCGCAGCTCTCCACGCGGGTTGAGGGTTTCGCCTAGGCATTTGTAAAGATGGTGCTGCACGAATGAATTGTCAAGGTAAGGTACGATTCGTAAGAGCTAAGAAAAACCAGCTTTCTGCTTACCCTATGTATTTATAATTACTTTTCTTTGGCTAATCCAAACCACCGATCTGTCTAGGTAACCATGACCTTTGGTTACATGGCATGGGATGAGAAATGTTGCAATTCCGAGCCAGCCAATGAACTCATCCCAATCCAGACTTCAGGAGTTAATTTGAGGATATGAAACTTTAAAACACTCTTGAAATCGATTTGGGGTTACTCATATATCAACAATGTTGTCCCATAATTTATGGACACAAAGAGAGGATCCTATGTCGTTGATTCACAACACATGATCTTGTCCGGCTCTTCTAACAGCTTAGTAGTAAATCAATAAGACTCTTCCATTAAAGACCTTAAAGTGTAAATATATGTATACGCTCCCAGGCGTTTGATTTCTTATAGCCCTAGAGTTACACCTCTTGAGTTGAACCTGGCTGGAACACAAGGTGAGTTGGGGATAGCTAAGGCTACAGGCAAAGTACTTTTATGTACCCAGCCGCCTTTTCTCTGCAATTCTGCGCGACTGTGTACTTGACAGCTACATTCTACAGACCCACCATCAATTACCCCAACCCACGATCTTTGGCCGGTACGTATCTATTCTTAGTCACGGCGGGACGAGCAAGAAACAAAGAGATCCGTCACTCCAACTCAGGCAGAGAGAGCCGAGGCAGCTCGACACCACACCTCAACGTACGTTGCCTCGTCCGACCTGCGAGCGGCAGAAGCCTTTGCAGCTATTGCGGCTCGTGACTCACTGCCCTTTGCGCGCTCTCGCCTTTTCTCACCACCGACCCCCTCCACACTATCATGCGACGAACCAGATAGACGGCCCAAGCTCTTCATCCGCCTGCCCGCCATGGATCCAGGCAGCACCAGCACGCGACCTCCCGCAGACGAGCCCGCCTCTGCACCCAACGCCGTGGCAGCCGCGACGAGCGCGCGAGCTCTCGACGCCCCTCGACGATGCTTCATCTGCCTCAACGATGAGGAGCCTACCGACCCTCCCTCGTCCTGGGTCGACCCGTGCCCGTGCACGCTCGAGGCGCACCAGGACTGCATGCTCTCGTGGGTTGTCGACTGCGAGCGCTCCAACAAGCCGCTCCAGTGCCCCGTCTGCAAATCAACCATCAGCATGGAAGGGCCCTGGGACCCCGTCGTGAGCTTCCATGATGCGGTACTGCGCCGCTTCACCCGCGCCAGCCCGTTTCTGCTCGTCACCGGCTTGTCCCTGGGCGTCCAGGTCAGCTCTCAGATGTATGGCGCCATGGCCATGTGGTTGTTTTCGGGCAAGGATGCGCTCATCGAGTACATGCTGGGAGGCCCGAACCAGCCCTTTGGCGGCGTGTCGTCACATTCATCCAAGATGGAGAGGATTACGAATGCTGCCGTTCTGATGAACATCGCCCCGGCTCTCCTCATCGGCCAGCTCATCCCCGGACTCGGCAACAAGATCTTTGTCCCTATGGGCTCGTTGGTATGTAACTTTGCTTTTGGCACTCTCAAATTTATAGCTAACTGATGCCCCTTAGTATGGCATCTACCATGTCATGAACGACGACGAGTTCTTTACATGGCCGCCATCACCGCAACTGGCCATCGCCGTCTTCCCTTACGTGCGGTCAATCTACTACAACCTATGGCGGGAATTTGTCTTCCCTTACGAAGTCAACCTCAACCGCCGAATCCTCGGCCTCCCCCCAGCCGAGCCCCGACGAAATGATAGAGGTAGAGAGAACGGCCGAAACGGCGAGCGTAACGCCGAGGGCGGCGTCGTCGGCTTTCTACAGACTCTACTAGATGCTCTAGACCCAGATGAGGAGGAGCAAGAGGGTCGAGAAGCACCACCGCAGATTGAGATTGTGCACGAGGAGATTCCCCAGGAGGCAATTGCTGAAGCTGAAGAGCAAGTAATCTTCGAGTTCCACTACGAAGGCGACTTGGGTGAGGATGATATCCTGCTTCCCGACGAAGACGAGCCGGCCGAGGCCCTTGAGGATGCACGTAACGATCCCCCAGCACCAAATCAAGCCGAGCCGGCCGAACAGCAAGCAGCAGACCAGGAGCAGGCCGCCAACCACCGAGAGGCGGCCCAGGCACCGCCAGCGCACCGCCCAGGGCTCGGCACCATCCTCTCCAACATGTCCAACGCTCTCGTCAGCGCTCTCATCCTCCCCGGCATCTCATTCGCGGTTGGCGAGGCGCTACGACTGCTGCTCCCCAAGGCCTGGACCACTACACTGCGGCCAGGGTTGTTGCAGCACCAGTGGGGCCGTAGTCTTATCGGAGGCTGCCTCTTCGTCGTTATTAAGGACGTGGTGAGGCTCTACTCCAAGCACCGCAAGGTCGCGGCGATGGGCAACCGCCGCGTCAAGAATGTGGACAGGCGGAGGAGGGGGAAATGAAGTACACAAAGACGAGATTCAAACCTGTACAACTTGGGGACACTAGCATCATGGGACTGGAGTTTGGGATAAATCAGAGCGATCGAGGCGAACGTGGTTATCTTGTGCGTGATAGAGATTATGAAGAACAGCTCATCAAGGATAATGCCCACTAATTTCAACAAGTTGGTTCAAGGTTGGTTTGAAGTTGATACAAGTTAGGCACATATTATACCCACCATTCGAGCCAGCAGATCGGCAGCCCAGCTCTCCAGCGAATAATCACGCAGAACAGTAGGTAGCATAAACACGGGTCTCAGACAAGGCAGCCACTCGACTTGGTGGCGACTTAATGCAATGCCGAGCTCTGTTCACCGGCCACGCGGCATGATAATGATGTGCAGCAGAGACAGACAGATAGATGCCCGAACAGGCTCCAAGCACATGGTGGACGGACCCCTGCGCCCACCGCAAGAACCTTCTGGGCCCGTCCACCTCCACCTCCAATCCACCGTGGGGCAGCCCTTCGCTTTTCCCATCAAAATCTCCAGCCCGGTGTCCTTCTTCGTCGCAAACACCCAGCCGCCCAAGCAGAAGCCCCCTCGCCTTTCTCTCCCCCTTCTTCGCACTCGCCAGTGCTCCTCCCGCCGCCATGGTAAGCATCAATCTAACCTCTTCGTCCCTCCCCGATAGACCTGTCGTAGGACAAGAGTATCCCCTGGCTAACACAATGGGGGGTCACCCCGCCACCACCGCCCAGGCCCAACAGTCCACCAAGCAGCGCCTCGCGCTCGCCATCTGCGACTTCCTCAACACCTCCGCCACCGACGGCACCCTGACCGGCGAGGACAAGGACTCGATCGACATCGCCGTCAACTGCATCGCCGAGTCCTTCAAGGTCGACCCCGCCGCCGCCTCCACCCTCGGCGGCCAGAACCTCGAGCAGATCTACTCCGTCTACGAGACCCTCAAGAACAAGACCACCACCGGCGCCGGAGCCTCGTCCTCCGCCTCGTCCTCGTCCGCCCCAGAGCCCTCGGACGAGAAGAAGAAGGAGGCCGACGCCCTCAAGAGCAGGGGCAACGCCGCCATGGCCCAGAAGGACTACAAGTCCGCCATCGACCTCTACACCCAGGCCCTCTCCATCCACCCCCGCAACGCCGTCTTCCTCTCCAACCGCGCCGCCGCCCACTCCGCCAACAAGGACCACGCCTCCGCCCGCTCCGACGCCGACGCCGCCGTCGCCATCGACCCCGCCTACACCAAAGCCTGGTCCCGCCTGGGGCTCGCCCGCTTCGCCCTCGGCGACGCCAGGGGCGCCATGGAGGCCTACGCCAAGGGCATCGAGCACGAGGGCAACGGCGGCAGCGACGCCATGAAGAAGGGCTTCGAGACCGCCAAGCGCCGCGTCGACGAGATCGAGAGGGAGGAGGCTGCCGACCTCTCCCGCGGCGGCTCCCCAGGACAGGCGCCCGGCGGCCTCGACTTTGGCAACCTCGCCTCCATGCTCGGCGGCGGCGGCGCCGGTGGTGCTGGAGGTGCTGGCGGCATGCCCGATCTCGGCTCCATCATGAGCAACCCCATGTTCGCCAACATGGCCCAGAACCTCATGAGCAACCCCGACCTGATGAACAACCTCATGAGCAACCCTCGGCTGCGGGACATGGCCAACCAGTTCAGCAGCGGCGGTGGCATGCCCGACCTCAACAGCCTGATGTCCGACCCCGCAATTGCCGATATGTAAGTTCTTGCTACTTGAAAGACAGAGTAACAGCAGCAGCCGGCTAACGTCGATTGACTCAGGGCTCGTAATATGATGGGTGGCGGTGGCCCTGGAGCCCCAGGTGGCGGTCCCAACAACTCTCAGGGACCCAATTCACAATAGAAGTAGTGTGTGTTGGGCGACAGGATCGTTTGAGCGTTCAGGTCCATCTTAAACATTGATAAAAAGAGTAGCTTAACTGTTTTCAAAGCATTGAAGCAACAGGGGAAGCTGTGAATTATGAAGTACGACATTACGATAATCTACATGCCCCCCATATGTGATATTCTTGCCAAAACGTTGTGTCGACCCGTCTGTGTGTTCCAGGCCCCAAAAAAAGCTCGACCATAAAACCAGTGGTTTATCTTATGCCATGTCTCCACTGCTGCATATTCATGTTATAATCATCTCTTCATCCCAAAACTGTTATTCATATCACAATAATATCGATCTCGGAATTGGGACTATTTTGTCCACTGCCCACCGTTTGCTGATTCAGGCTCCCCTCGTTGCTCTTCCACGTCGGTTGCGCCAATAGCCCCTACCACGCCGGCCGCCGCGGTGGCCAGCGCGGCTCGGGGATGAAGTTGAACTGGCATTGATTGGATCTGGCTTCGTTGTTTCTTTCCCCTGCCTGTCTTCGAGTACTGGCTGTTGCATTGTAGAAGCACTCTCCGGGGTAGTGTTTGCTGTGGCCTCTGGCTTTCCCTTCTGCCCCCGTTCGACCTTTGGACCTGCCGGAGGCTGGGAGCTGGGTGTAACAGCAGTCTGAGCTTTAGCCTTGCCCACAGCATTGAATCTCGGAATATTTGACCCCGCAAACTTGGGGTGTGGCAGAGGAGCAGAAACTCGACGGTTAGACTAAGCAATGAGTTAAATATCCTTCAAGGACCAAGAGCCACCGATCTTACTGGTTCATTCACTGATTGATCTTGGGTCCGTATTATCTGTCCTTGTTCAGGCTCCGTGCTCTCCGCCGCATAGGCTGGTTCACTTTTGGACTGAATTCGACGAGAATATCGCGGGCACTTGAATTGTGAGTTTTCCAGTTGGGGAACTTGATCCGCGCTCTCATCAGCCAGTGATCTACGAGGCTCAGCAGCAGGGGCTGTGGTAAATTAGTATTGTTTGCTTTCCAACACCTCGTCGTTAACCTACTTGGTGTCTGTTGTGCGCCTCCTCCCGCTATCTGGGCTTTCGATTCAGATAGTATGTGAGCTGGGGAAACAGCCTCGTCTTTTTTCTGACATTGTGAAATCATCACACTCCCTGAGCCGTCATTGGATGTCCCGTCATTGCTGGTCTGCGATTGCACGATATCGTCGCCATGGTCGGCTTTTTCTTCAAGCTCATCGGACCACTGGCGACTGGTTTGAGAGCTGGCTGGCTTACTGACTGTTCCAGGGATAGAGTCCTCAGTGCTTGTTTCGTTTCGTTTCCTTGCAGCCGCCTGGCTTGGGGTTGGCGCTTTGGGCGTGAATGTTGGGGCGATGGGATTAAGTCTCGAACCCTGTAACCCGTTAGATTCACCTATACGCCAATGTTGGATCATGTATTGTACTTCTTTCACATGCTGAGGAGTCGAGGGCGCAGTCATGAAAGGCCTGTCATCGCCTGCCAACGAAGCACGGTGGCCAACAACCTGAATCGGTTGTTCAGGTAGGCTAGATCGGGCATCTCTCGAGAAGGACTTAGTACCACACAGAGCATTTTCCCTTGATGAATTGTTTTCCTTTAACCAGAGAGCGGAATATCTTCCATCATCGAGCATCAACTTTCTAGGAGCCCCGTCCTCAACTAGCCGACCATTCTCGATTACCAAAATTTGATCAGCATCTAGAGATTTTGCGAGATCACGGCTAAACGAGTTAGGCTCATATTGAAATTAAGCGCTAGAGAGTGTACACACTGGACAATAAAGGTAGTTCGCTTGCGCTTTGTAAGAGAAACCATTATTCGTTGCTCTGTGGAGGGATCCAAAGCACTTGTTGCGTTATCTAGAACCAGGATATCTGGATCCCGTAAAAACTCACGGGCGATCGCAATTTTCTGTACCTCAGAAACCGAGAGTTTTCTGATGACCAGTTAGTCTAAGCTAAATTGAAGGGGCAATCGTACTCACATGCCATTGTCGCCAACTACTGTCGCGTAACCTACAAAAAAAGGCTATTGTCAGTTAAATTGAGGTACTGGAAGCATGCTGATTACCTTGAGGGAACCGTAGAATTTCGTCATGAAGGACAGCCGCCTTGCAGGCCCGGAATACCTCGCTGTCGCTTGCTGTGACACGACTATATCGCACGTTGTTCAAGATAGTGTCATCAAAAATATAGCACGTATCTGAAAGAATTCCGACCCTATCTCGTAAACTAAAACAAATGTCAGTAGCTGACCCGAGATAGACTACTGAATGTATGGGTACTCGCCTAAAAAGGTCGACATCACGAATGTCCTGACCATCAATGAGAATAGCGCCCTTGGTTACATTGGATGATCGATTAAGAAGATTAAGAAGCGTTGACTTTCCTGATCCCTTGTCCCCAATAATGTAAGCGGTTTCGCCGCCAGCGACTTCAAAGCTTGCGTTATCAATGACAGTCTTTTGTTCCCTAAAGGCGAAAGATACGCCGTCAAATTTGACCTTTCCGGCCATACGCTTCAAGGGCCGAGCATTCTGCCTGTTGTACACGGCAGGTGTTCTATGCAACAACCTGAAGAATGCAGCAGCTTGTGAAAATCCTTGGCTAGTGTTTTGGACGGCCCTTGAGAGAGAGCGGACTGTGATGTGGAGTTGGGACCAGAACACGATGAGCATTGCCAGGTGTCCGACTGTTGCTAACCCCACAGTCGCCTGGCTGATGGCATGGCATAGACTTACGGTTAGGCCAAGGGCCAGTAAGATTCTTTGGAAACCGGCTACTTGACCCCGTCTTTGGGCGTATGTCTTGACTTGACACATCCGTGTGGATACCGCATTGGAGTGGAGATTGTCTTCGTAGCCATTCTGATTCAGGGCTTGGATAGTCTTCGATCCTCGAAATCCGTTATGCCTGATCAACTGTTCTTTTTGAAATAGCTTTGAAAATGCCTCGTTTTCCCATGAAACTTCATGTGCAAGTTTGCTGGTTAGAAAGAGGTGTATAAACATGCTTCCGGCCAATATAAAACCTTGGTAGGGTACCATAACGATAGACAAGTAAATGGTCGCCGAACATAACTGCACAAGCCATGGACAGAATTGGAGGAAAGAAAATTCGAGAACTTCTGACATCACATTTGCGCCCTGGATCGAGGTTGTCTTCTCAGCAATGTTCTCCGCGTTGTGGAAATCAGAAGAGAGGTGAAGGAAATGCGAATAGGCCTTTCGGCTTAAAGTTTCCGTTATGAAGCATTTGAAGGGAATCCAGAGGTATTCGCAGAATAGTGTAATGGCAGTGCCGGAAAAGCAGAGAGCAGACAAAATCATGACTCCAACCCATGGTGCGTCAGTGTCGTTGCTATATAGTTCGTTCACGACACGGGCAGTCAGGATAGGAACCAGGAAATTTATGCAAGTGGAAGCGAGAAGACCGATGATAACGCTAATTACTTGAATTTGAAGTCGGCGGAGACCATCAGGCTTGATAAGGCGGGTGAGCTTCTAAAAGGGGCTGGTTAGATCATTGCAGTGGTTTGAGACGGTGACTATAGGCATACCACAAAATCTTTCACATTCCGGGTCCAGGCACTCCTTGAAGGATCCCTACCAAAAATCGATTCCTCGGTGTCACCGCTTTCATTGTTCCCTGAAGCGATCCCTCGGCTGTTGTCTGCTTCCCTGATTGATCCATAGATGGGGCCGTCAAGCATCCTCGAAGTGCGGCTGTTAATGTCTCTTGGGGTCGGGTCTCCAGATGGAAGCAGAAAGTGTTCTTCGTCGTCACTTATCGATGTATGATCGGAGTTGAATCCACACCATGTATTGCGGGGGGAAACAAGAATGCAGAGCAGGAGGCTTCTTGAGGTTGCCAGACATATGACGGCTACCCTAGTGGAGTCTGGAAGAGAGGGCCACACTGAAGTTGACGTCGAGATCGAAAGGAGCGCTATGCTAATCTCGAAAGGAATCGCGATTATCCATGAGCAGCGAAAAGAATACCAATCCGGGACGGAACTGTTCAGAAGGCCATCTATCTGTAGAATCGATAGGGAAAAGCAGGAGACAGTGCCGATGACGAAATATTCTGGGGCGACAAAGCTTGGGAATAAGTAGCTCTGGAGTATGACTGTAGAAAGTTGAGCAAACTGGGTACACGAGAAAACACTGAGCAAGAGAATGATGGTCTTTTTGTTGTAGGCGGGCCCTGAAATGCCATCAGAGGTAAAGAAGGCAACAAGGAAGCCGAGCAAAACCACAACTGGATAGAGACAGTAGAGTGCTGGCGTGATCATCTCAAGAATTGAGAACATGATGAGAGAGTGTATCTTTCGAATTTTTGGGTTCTTGGAGGGAGGCAACTGATTGTAAGGCGAAGAGAGAGACGACTCTCATTTGCTATGCGGCGTGCCAGGACACTGCAAACCGGTCATGGAGTCTAGCCAAACGAGAGAGTTTGACGCTGTGGGTGGTGCAGCGGAAGAAGAAAAGAGAGAAGAAAGTGGTTGGCGAAGACATGTTGGATTTCAATGGAGTTGAGCATTGCATGAGCTACGGGTGAGAAGGAGAATTCGTTGTACAAGAGGGAAGGAGTACCTGAGGCGGATAGCAGTTCTCTGTCCGCCATAGCAGGAAGGAAGCCCCAGGCATTGGATGGCACCAAACATCGACAAACAGGTAGTAGTACTTACCTACCACCCACCTAGAGATTCCGTTCCCAGCATTTGAAAGCAGTCCAGGGTAAAGAGCAATTACACAGATACAATGTGTATTGACGCTCGCGGTTTGGGTATGACACCTGCTATGCCGATAAGGATATGAAGTTTAGGAGACGGAATCGGAGAGAAAAGTTCAGAGCATAAATTATTCCTCTCTCAACATCTCCTCCGAAAACCGAGAAGCGAGCTGAAGCGGAATGACGAATTTATGATAGCAAGTTAGCAGTCCTCTGTGGGGTTCGCTTTGGCAGCATGTCACTCACGGATCACCCTCATCCACCTACTAGTCCCTGTGATTTCAGGGGTCCTTATTGCGTCAAATTCAGGCGTCTACCTAGTCGGGCTGTCCGAAAAGTTAAATTGTCCTTGTCTGCTAGCAATTTTCAAGAACGAATTTGGATATGGCATCTCAAATCAAAATTGCATCCTCGCTCCGCCTAGCTCTGGGAGGAGTGAGGAGCGGAAACCCACTCGCACCAACGCTATTGTGGCGAGAAAGGACCGCACAGCTGGTGGAAGCTGTTGTCTCACACTCAGGTCTTCACAGCAATAAGCTGTTTGGGGCTGCCGCGTCCTCATCTGCAACGAAGCGGCAAGTGCCACGTGAGATACCTACCTACCGCCTGTAGTGGCTGTATGGGGAGGGCTATAACATCATTGGAACAGCTCGGAAACTGCTAAACCGAGAAGAACCCGTGCTAGCTGGGGTCGTATTTCCGCAGTACCTTCCAGGTACGTTTCACTAGGTACCTTCCTGTCGCCTTGCTCAAGCAATATTGGGCACAACTCAGAGCTGGCCAAAACACACCCTCGTTTTTTGCTTTTGTAGCGGATACCAGTCACCCCAATGATTGAGACAACAAACTCCACACGATGCATGGCAGGATGGGTGTAGCACCTGAATCCACTCGAAGCGTTGATGCAACCAGTCGGCGGTTGCGTGTTCAGGACACAGCAACCCGAGCAAGCCTCCATTTCTTCGAGGGCAAGCTTCTAGACCTTGACATAGCTATCACCTTCTTAGCACCTGCACTAGTTCGCCACTACCAGGTAGCCAAGGTAGGTCCGTTGGGAGCAGCCCAAGCGACTGGGTCACCAATCTCCTCCGACCACCCCAATATGGAGGCAGGGCCGTTCAGGGTCAATGCTCCGATTGGGAAACAACTGGCCACAACCATCTCACTGGCCGTATTTTGACATGCGTCAATTACATTCACACAGTAGAGGGGCCCTAGTGCTGTGGAAACTACTAGTGTTCCGTCTTGGCCTTTGACCAACGCCCACTCTCTATACTACGCAGAGGCGAAATTTGAAATTTGAAATTACGGTTTTTTGTTTGCTTTTTGGATAGCTTGCAGTGCGCTAACCTCAAGCTTCATCAACAGCATGATCCAGCCCAAGTGTCTCACCATCAAGAAGGTTTATGCCTTCGGCAGGAAGATAGTTTGATTTTGAGCTCCTGGGTCGATTTTCTTGCTGCAGCGAAAAGGAGGACAGGATTTTGGGTGCCTGTCCGAATAAGCGGTCGTTGTTCCATCCATTATTCGGATTTGGAACCCAAGGTTCCCATGTTAAGCCAACCCCAGATAACAGAGCCCATATGATCAACTCACCTGTGTGATCATTGAACCTCTGTCAATGATATAGTTTGAGGCTGGATCGCCATTCAACCGCACATTAATTAGCCCCTTCCATCCTGACTGCACATGCCCAACGATCGCCCAATTTGATCGAGCGCGATCATTTTTGCCGATCCATTTCCCCTCTCCCGCAACCCTGACCTCAACAGCCCAGAGCATCTGGCGAAGGCTTAAGAATAGCTGCTTACTCATGTTTCCAGGGGTCCAAGCACTTCTTGGCACCTAAGGTCGGGCACACCGCAGTCATGCTCCACCGTCACTTTTATCTCCACCTTTATCCGTGGCAGGTGCCGTCCAGATGGGACTTTTAGCCTACCCTATTCTTCCGAGACCCAAATCAACATCAGCACATGTCAACAAGCCGTGCACCAGCTGTGACGGAACTTTCCAGCAGCCAAGATGACAACATTTGTTATAGATCAGATTCCAGGTGGGAAAATGCCACGTGGAATTCCAGCCCGCTCAGCCTGGCGCCCGCAGCACTGCCACGGACCGCCAATATTCGGGCGTGGAAGCCTGTTTTGCACTTGGAACCCCTGCAATCTGGTGCACCTCCGACAGATTCATAAACGCGGAGCACCACACCCACGGGTCCGCCGATAGAGATGTGTTCCGCTTAGGGTTAAGTCTAGACCTGGGGATCGAGATGTAATGGGATGGGGGTCATTAAGGGGAGCCAACCTCATTGTGCCCGTTGTGCACTTGACGAAATGCCACGTGGAGTCTCAAGCGCGGCCCCCCATCAAAGAGGCCTAAACTCGCATCCCTAAAGATGCCGTGTGATGCACAAACGGTCCATCAGGGTCCAGAAACGTATTGTTGTCAGAGAAACATCCGTTTTCAGCACGGAAAGTGCCATTGAGGCGCTCTCTCTCTTGCGTATTATCGGCCTTACCTCGCGTCAAGTCCCGTTTACCTTGTAGGCCTCTGTCTAAGTCCCCCCCTGGTGCGCCCTACGCGTACGGCTCTATCCGTCTGGAGGGGAAAATATTGGTTCGGAACATTCTTCGCTAGGCAGCTGATTCGCGTGGCGCCCCCGGCACCTGCCAGCGTCTCGAACTGGGGGCTATTGATTACTCTGCATTTGGTATTATTGTTCACCATGAGCATGATTGGAATGTACGGCTACCGATTTGCCACAACGATGGACGTCTGACGGTGACCCAAAACGTCCGATCAGCTCTTACCCTAAAGCCACGGTCAATCACTTATCTCAACAAAAAAAAGCAACGCGGCGTTTTGAGGCTAAGCTGGCGGCCAACCAGATCGGCTTGTTGGCGATGTGATGGATGCAAGCTGACTGTTCTGGAAAACCAACTTCGTTGATGTGGATACAATCCTTGGTCAGAGCTTGCTCCCTCCCTGGTCTGTGGCTGGCGTCTATAGGCTTTTGTCCCTAGATTTTCGCTAGAGCGCTTGAAAATGGTAGGTGGATTGTTTGGTTGTCGATATGCAAGACTTTGTCTCTACTCGATCCACGGGTACCATTGGAGTTCTTGCCATCGAGCGCTCGGTTGACCCATGAGCAAGCCTTTCTTTTCTCACCCAACACCCCGTTCAGCCCCATCTGGAAGGCCGAGGCTTTGAAACATGGCTCAAATGAGGAGAAATGGCATTTCCAAATGTCGCTGCCATCTTCGAGTGAGGCTAGAAAAAGGCCCCCTTCACCTCGCGAATTCCCAGAGAGCATTTCACCTCTCAGCCCCGGGGTTGCTGCAAGGATACAAAGCCTAGCCCGGAACGATGCCCGATTTGCAGGAAATGGATAGCAGTCGCAAATTCCAGCATATCCAGCCGGCACCTCCTTCTTCATCACAACCAACTGAGGAGGTGCCCGGTGATGTGGCGGGCGAGGAGTTTCTGTTCCCTTCCAAGCGGCAACGGAGAAGCCAAGTTAAGACCGCCTGTGACACCTGTAGAACGAAGAAAACCAAGGTTAGTAGATTCCTCATCGCGGGACCGTTGAGCTACTGACTGAGCCGACGAGAAAACAGTGTGACAATCAGCGACCAATATGCGCCGCCTGCCTTAAGCGAGGCACCGGGTGCACTTTTGATGGTGTGCCCGCCGAGGCTGATGAGCTGACCGAATCCGACGAGCTGCTGTCATTGTTGACTTCTGCGCTGACAGAAGAGGAGGTAATGACCTTGCTGTCCGACATCAAGCATAGAAACAATTTCTCCGAGTCCCTGAAGCACCTAAAAACACTGCGTGATGAAAGGCTTTTCGAGGACACCAGCGGCACTGATTTGGCTTTGGCTCCGGACCAAGACAGTCTCGAGTTCGAATTGATGACGCGCCATTCTCTGTTGTTCCCAGCATCAGTTGCGCTCGACAAAACCCTACTGTCGCAGAAGGGTTCTTCGTCATCTCATAGTGCCGATGCTGTTCAAGCGGGGTACGTTGCTCAAGGAAGGTACGACATGCGATTTCCTGCCAATGCTGATTCCTCAAACTGTACCAGGTCCCATCAAGCGTCCAGCAGCACTGTGGCTCCCAGGGCCCAGCCCGTGAAACTATTTGATCCTAGACTTCGGAATGTCGACTTTTCTAACTGGACCGATGTGTCGATAGATAGTCTCGATGCGGCTCGACTCATCTCTAAATACCTGGAGGTCGATCATCCGGTGCTTGGATTATTTGACCATGAATTATTTCTGGCGGACCTGTCCACTGGACAGAAGCGCTTCTGCACCAGCTTTCTCGTGAACGCGATTTTGAGCTGGGGGTTTGTATGAACATTTCGCACCCTCCAAAACTGCATTGTGCTCGATCTGACCTAGAAGAATCCAGCTCCAATATCCTCCACCCAAGTCTCCGGGAGGGCCATCCGAGAGCAGCAAGTTCTATTCGAGAGCTCGTGGCCAATGGGTCACGGGTTCCACGGGTGATTCGTTTCCCGCAGTAGCAGGCCTGCAACTCCTCAGTCTGGCGGCGACTTTCTCTGGCCAAGGGCCGACTGCAAAGAAGCTATTATTTGATGGCATCGATATGGCCAAGCGATTGGATCTGCTGAGCAGCGGCGACAAAACTCCGAAGTCAGCTCGAGTTTACAACACGGATGAATTGAAGGCAGCTTCATCAGCTGCATGGGGTTTGTTTTGTCATATCACGTATGTATATCTTGGTCGACCATTAACCTCGAACAAGGTACTGACTTGGGATGCAGCTTGCATGCTTTGCACTGCCAAAAGTGTGAGTTGTGGTCAATTGGCCCGCCCACCCTACCAATCCCAGCATCCAACGACCCGACGACACTGTATTATCTCTGCCAGCTCTGGACTATCGTTCATGATATGTTGCGCGAATACTTCTCGCCAGAACGCATCTCGGAGCCTGCTCGTTATGATGTCCAATTCGCCCAGACGACCTTCCAGCGACTCCTCGATTGGGGAAGCTGCCTGCCGCTCACCCTTGCAAGGGGAAATAAGACCACATACCAAGGTGCTATACTGCAGTAAGGATGATGTCTTTTGTGCTTTGTGTCACTGACGGCTAACAAAGGACCTTTTATAGCATTTATTTCCACGCTGCAAGCATTACCCTTCTCCGGCCACTGGTTTTGTTTGACGATGACTCTGCATTTACTCTGGACTCTGGCTCGAAGAGACCCGCTAAGGACTTCCTCCACGCCTCCTCGAATCAGCTTAAGAGACTTGTTAGCCTGTACCAAGCCAACTTCAGTCACACATCGGAACTCTCGGTCCTCTGGCATACTGGGTGTCTCTTTGTCGCCAACGCCGTGATCCGAGATGTGACCAGCCCGACTTCACGACTACATTTTTGGCGTTGTCTGTATGGTTACAAGAGTCTGTACCCAAAGTCCCCCTTGGTGAAATCCATTGCCAAGGGCCTTCTTTTGATGGCCGTCATGGGAAACCTCATCACCAAGGAAGAGGCCTGCCGAGAGATTGGAGAATTCCAGTCAGGAAACGACGGTGAACACAGCTATGCAATGGAACCGACAGAGGCTTGTTTTGTCGTCGACCTTGATCTGGGACTTTCCGATGCTGTGGGGTCACATGTGGATAGCTTGGCTCAGAACTTTGACGACATGTTCATGGATTACAATGAATGAGTCTTCTCGCTTTCAAGGCTTCAGTTTAGGTGCACACACACATGTCATCAGTACGAATAACATATTGATGAGCGAGGAATTTTGTATACGTGGGACTGTAATTGAGAGACAGAGAGTATTATACCCCTTTAGGCATAGAATCATTACGAAGTGAACGAGTTATCACCACCACATGCCCGAAAGTGAATGGCGTAGAAACTAACATTTCATTGACATACGTACCATGCAGTACTACGGACACGCTATTTAATACGTAGGATTTGACAGTAGCCCGCCAATTTCCGGGACCCAGAAATGTCACTGCCATCTCGGCATTATTGAATTATTGAGGCCCCCACAACCCGTTGTTGTAAGGAGATTGCCGATGAACCCCAGGCGTGGTGTAGGGATTGCTGTTCGTGATGAATACTTGTTGAAGTGGCAATTGAGTTGCGTTCGGCGCGGCGGGCTCTGTTGAACCAATCGCATTAGAAACCGTTACAAAATCCGCGGAATGTGAATGAACTGCCGGTGCGAAGAGACTTAGTTGTGGTTGGTGGGGGTTTCCCCAAAGGCTCGGGCCGTTGTTGGCTCCCGAGCTCTGAAGGCCTAGGCACTCGATCGTGCTGCTGGCGGCGTTGGTGCCATAGCTCGGGTAAGCCCCAACCTTGTTGTTGACGGATGCCATTGCCTCGTAGCCGAGGTACGTCCGGATAAGAGTGCAGTTGCAGTTTGTATGGCGGAGTAACTCTGACTTGAGATCTAACACCTCGTTGCTCAGGGATTGGAGGTATCCGGACAGATACTTGTGTTTGTCCTCGACCTCAAATTCGACACTTGACAGGGCTTTAGCGTGACGGCGTTGACGGTGTCTACAGCGGTTGGCAGCCAGACGATTCCGCTCCAGGGCTCGCTGGCGAGCTGCCTCGTCCTTGAAGTAGGTAGAGCCTCCTCCGGCTCTAGGAATGTCATTAGGTTGCTGGGGGGAACGAGGGTGGAAAGCGTGTGGTGGATTTGCCCCATTTAGTTCCGGGCCTCGACGCTTCCTCTTCTTCTTTATCGGCTCCACTGTCGAGGGTGGTAATTTCGACGATGGTTCTTGTTGAGGAGTGATGGGAAATGGGGAAGCTGCCGGTGAGGCAAATTGATTGTAGTTAATATGTGACGGGCGGTCGGTTGGTGTGGCCTGCCAGCCATGCCATCGTTCAGGGGCATCGTCACTCTGTGGAGTTTCTAGAACGGGACGCACATAGTTCGCAACATATGAGTTATCAGTGACGGGGACGGATATAGTGGCTTGCCGAGACGACTCATCATATGGAGGAGAGGGAGCCAAGGCGACAGGACGGTCGGAGTATTTCGATATGGGTGTGTAGGGATCTTCGCGTTGGGGAGAGATCGTCTCTTCGAAAAAGATACGGCCGTACCCAGCTGGGTTGGTAGCTGTCGGGGTAGATGTAACCGTGAAGACGGCCTCCAGGGGGCCTGAAGTACCAGCGGACGAGTATTGGCTTGCCTGTGAACCGTAGCAGTGGTCACCTGGCTGTGACGTGGCGAGCATCCATTGAGGTGGATGGCAAGCATGAGGATTATTCCGCATCGGGGGATCTGTTAGGAGGTACCTTAGCTACGTGGGGGCTTGCCTGGGCTAAGGTGCCCCGGGGAGGTAGCGACTTACCTGCCTACCTGGACTAGAAGGCCACAACGAGAGATGGCAGATGGCCCGGCTTGAGCTAGAGACCTGTAAGCTGCAATGGCCACAGCACCGAGAATGTAGGCTCAGCCTGGGCACCACACGATGGACTCGATGTGAGGGACCGGAGAACGGCCCGCAAACCGGCAGCAGGCCAGACTGGTCGGGCTGCTTGTTCCTTGGGTGGATTGCCCTGGGCCTGCTGAGACTTGAAACAGGTGCGATGCGTCGCTTGTAGCTGCCAACTGGAGCGTTGGTGAGGGAAGGAGGGAGAAGGAAGGAGCAATGGAAGGGACGAGGGGCTCGAGTAGACGAGGTAATAGGGAGTTTCCCGCCGGTGAGTTGGAGGGGGGCTCACTTGTCCTTATTGTCTATGACCCGTCTCTTCGGCTTCAGAGCCTGGCGATGGGGTTGTTTCGGCAGGCAGAGGAGTGTGTGCGTGCGTCCGCGCGCATGTGTCTCTGCATGCAAATGTGCGATGCTTGGGCCTATCTACTTGGGATCCTGCAGCAGTCACGCTGCAAGCCTACGCTTCGAGGAGTCCTGTGCGGAGCCTTGAGACAAGAGGGATCGGCCAGCCCAACGACACAGGCTCGGGGAGCTACTTGGCCTAGCTTACGGCCATGGTAACCTTTGATGCAATCCGACCTAAGAGGCCGCAGACAGGATGCTGAGCAGCAGGCCGATCAACATGTTGGTACAGGGATGCGGCCTAGAGGAGCTGACACTAAACCCAGTTACCTGAGAGTCAGGCAAAAGCAATATCGACACTTTGACCTCGACGGGGGAGTGGCTATAAACCAGGAGTGCTGTACGCAATCATATATGTACACATATACACGCATGCGTGCGCTCATACACACCGCACACCTTCACATACGGCTGGCGACTTTTTCAGTTCACCTCCAAACAATATCTTCCCCTGAGACTAGGTGATAGCTTCATCTCCTTGTTTGAATGCCCCAGTGATCGTCTGTCGCGATGGTGACAGGGATGCCTTGGCTTTTCCCACTCGGCAAGCTTCTTATCCGGATCTTTGACGGCCAACCTATTGAGCACTTGAGATCTTTATTGCATCTTAATACCGGGGATATCGGTGTCCGAAGCCTTCAAGCCCAATTCACCCCCCCCTTGTATCGTTTTCTTCCACGTACATCTCTTGGATGTGTTGAGGCTTTGTAAGTTTGTTCATTGGCCGGCGGTGCCCGGACAACTCCGGGCGGCGTTTATTGGATGTTGTGGGTAATTGCTCTGGGTTCCAACGGTCCCTCGCCGGGGATTTCATGTATATTATTTCCTCTTCCCCCGGCGCGGAACAGCCAGAGCGGAGTAAAGGATACATCCACGAAATAGGTATGTTGTGCAGTGCTGCAGCGCGCGAGCACAATGCTCTTCTCTTCCTCCACCCTCCCTCTGGTTTAAATGCTTACCGATGTATACATGTGTTGCCAATTTGAGCCTTCTGGGTGCTGCCTCTTGTCCTTTGACAAGTCTTGGAGGGCCATGATTCTACTTCGGTTACTGAAATAAATACTAGGCACTCAGAGAAAGACCGGGATATTTTCTCGTCGATTTGAGGTTTCGATAATTGCCAATGCTTGAGATAACTATCTTATTGACCGACCTTTGGGATGGCTGCAGGTAGCCACCATGCTTCCGCACCCTCTCTGATAGGGACGGATGATGACACCCACTCATTCAGGTGGACAAGCATGATTCGGCCCAACTAATCATGCAGTGTGCAGATACCACCATCAAGCACCAACACCACTAGAACCACCATGAACAATAGCACGTACCTAGTTCAAGTGGGTGTCATATGCTTCCCCGCCTTTCGGACATGATTAGTGTAATCGACAGCACAAATGTGTATGATCACGACTCAGACAACGCCTTGGTCTCTATATGCCATGTAGGTCTGGATAGAGAGAGTTAGCGTGCCTCGATTTGACATACTAACCCCCAAGCTATTGCGTTACACAAACCTACTCCCGCAGGAGAGCAAGAGAATGGTTAGCGAGCGGGTTGGGTGGTTGGGTGATCTCATGTTGGGTTTGCCCAAAGCGCTCCCAAGCTCCCATCAAGCATGCAGGCACCATGTCTCAATCCGAATGGTGGCGGGCGGCGGTGTGTATACACCACATAGTCGTAGGTCCATGAGACATCCATACCCGCGCCGATGGTATTTGTTTCTAATGATCTTTCCATGTCAAGGCTAAATCCGAGAGTTTGGAGATCGTGGAAAGACGAAGCAGCGTCAGTTCTGGATCCGTCCGATGCTGCTATGTCCCTTCCAGAAGAACCGTGCGCCCAGGATGATGATGGCCTTCCAAGGCACTTTGGCTTCATTGCCCAAGATAAGGTGCTGAGTGATGAGCAATACCCAGAATCGAATGGCTGCAATGTGCAATTTGGGGGTAACAATTGCAGAACCCCTCCCCACCCTCCATTTCGACACAGATTGTTTCCGCCCATCGCCAAACGCCTACCGGAAATGATGCGGCCTGAGCTGAGCCTTGCTGCTTTAAATCATATGCTCGCCCATTGGGCACTGAACGATGATTCCTCAGGCGCCAATTTGGAATGCCCTCTTTGCTTTTGATTCATTGATATGGCGTAGGTAGAAGGATCTGGATCTCTGGTTTCTTATTCGTGTTGAATAGGATTATTTAGCCTGGTGCCACCTTGACTCTCTCGGTATGTTGCCATTGTTGTCCCTTTCCTCGAGCGGTGGAGACGGTTCCCTCGGTATGGTTTCTTTTTCGTCCGCCTCACTAATAATCCCGGGAGCCAGCATTTACGAGCTGGTCAAGGTTGTATTCTCAATGCTCGAGGGCTGACATGGGAACCTTGGTGAGTAAAATGGAAAAATGTGACTCTACGATACCATGTCAAGGGGGGGCCCGAACTATAACCTTCGTGAACTTTCACCATGATTCATCTTTAGATCGACAAATCCGCAGCGTGACTGGCGAGACTGAAGTTCCTAACTCCAATTCTCAAAGTATTTGCCACCAGGTATTGCCGGCATGAGATGTATACGCTCGATTTCCGCTCAGAAATCGTGGAGAAAGGTCCGCGAATTGGCTTTTGCATATTCGTGTTGGTTGAATGTATGTGCCACACTCATGATGAGATGATACTTGCATTGCCTCTACCTGCTTGCTGATAATGCTGTAGGTGATCCAGAGGTCGACGCTAAGGAGAGCCCCTGTTGATCCCTTGGAGCTGGCCTGGTATCGGTGTACTGCACTCAATACTTAATCTATTGGCGTGTTGCGAAGTGTTCGAGTGAAGCTGAAGGTACAAGCCTGAGCCGAGGGCCTGGATTTCTCGATTAAGTACAGGACGTCCAGCAGGTTCCAGCCACGCCAGCTATATACTTGGCCTTTAAGCTTTGCCACAACGTCAAACCCCTGCCATTTTATATGCACTGGTGAGGCCTCCCCAGAATCATCGTGCGTTTGCTCGTGACATCCGATATACCATTCATACGGTGCATAGCGTTACAGCGCCGGCTATGCACGTCATCCGTTGACGTGGCGAGTTTGGTTGGTTCAATTGCAAAAGGCGGCTATTTGCTCTGCCTGATCTGGGGAGAAGAGAAGTGGCGGAGGCGACCGGCCATCACTTGCTTACCCTGAATGTCTGGTGATGCATACTCCCTCAAAGGCTGAGCTCCCATTCAAGGACGGACAGTCATGGCTATTTGTGAGACGTATCGATGGAATCTAGTGAACTTCGAGAACAACTTGGCGGCTCCATCATGCCTAACACAACAGCCGAGCATGATTAACAGCACCCTTTGGCTGTCAATTCTATCGACTAAAGTCTTGAGAAATATTCAGTCTCGACTTCAACCTAAGAAGGCATTGGAGAGAAATAGGAGGGCTTCATTATGGTCGACGATCTATGCTGGAGATAAGTACGTCTGCAAACCGGCCTCGTATTACACACTGTCTGTGTAACTACCTCGAATCCGGCCAGTTGGCGGGGACGAGACCAGCGGGAATTGGAGACCGAACAGTGAGAGCAAGAAGTGCAGCGTCAAGGGATGCTTGACTATAGGCTCGCTACCTTATGGAAGGGACAGATGCTCTCGCATGAAGAAATGGGTGTGGACCGCGCGAAGGAAAGAAGTGCCTACCCTTCAAGCAATCCCGGTTTGTCTCTGCCCCGATATTGGAAATTGGAGCAACCGCATGCCGGGCCGAGGGCAATTTCTCTTCAACGAAATTAGCCCAGATGCTATGCTAACAAATTGATATGGACATCTTTGCGAGGCTTTTCGGCTGCTGAACTTTCTGATACCATGGAGCAGCACTTGCTTTCATATTTGAACGAGTCTGGACAGGGAATTGGCAAGTTGATAACTTGTTATCTCAATTGAATCTCTAAGAGTTGAAATCCATTCGCTTGATTAGAAAAACTGAAGCCAGAGAGGAGAAATGAGCCAGGAGAATGATTGTGCTGGGTTTGACGAGGGCTGGGTGGCGGAATACTTCGGAAAGGGGGCGCGGAACTAGGGCTATGGGTGGTCACATGCCTACCCATTGTACACCGGAGGCATCTGACCGATGAGTCCATTCACTGTCTTGCCATTTCAAACCAAATCACGACCCCTTGCCAAGAAGGGTTCTTTATTTACGGGCTACCAGTGGAATACAGGGAAGAGTTGGATTTGTCGATGAGACAAGACCAGTTCCACAGCTTCTAGTGCAGTACGCTCCCACCATGGCTGACAACCCCACGATCCCAGGCCCAGAAGCAGCTCTACAATAATGCAAGCGGCGATTCATGGGGGACTAGACCAGCCGAAGGCATATGTTGCCTTGGGGCCTGCTTCCCGGCTACGATAGACATCCGGTGACCGGTCCTGGTCTCAGCTATGTTACATCTTTACCTCCCTTGCACGAGAAGGGAAAAGAAACGGCGAAAATAGGCAAACATCGGCTATGAGCTGCTCCTGATGATGGAGCTGTTCGCCACGTCGGCATGGCATGCGGCAGCAGGTCGTTGTCGCACCTGTTCCCGTGATCACTAGAACGTGTCAGACTATGTCGGAGAAAAAGTCTAGGCTCGGGAAGCTTGGCCAACACGATCCAAAGAGGGAAAAAAATCCCTACGCCAGCACCGGCCGAGCTGTCAGGCTAGGTGGGGTTTTTAGCATCTCAACCCACTACCCCAGGGCCCAGAGTCGGCGAAAATATCCCATGTTGGGTATCGTGGAAGAAGACTTGAGGCAACAAGGAGCGAGCAGAGCCCATGATTGGAACTGTAGCCAGCCAGGACTGTTGCATTGTATGCCGGCAGGAGATGGCAACTATATCCGAGGCTGTATACGGTCCAATTGGGCCAATTGGGAGAGGAAAGAGACAGGAGGTGGTTGTTTTCTTTTTACATCGAACCCCACACCACCTATTCTAGAGCATGAAGACCCTGGTGAGAGGAGTGAATGGTGGTTGCGGAGATGACGCGGGGCTTGATGGGTAATGAGTCTTTGGTCAGTGGATGGGGCCACAGACTCTGGTCCCTGCCAATGCGATGCGGTCATGATCGGTTGCGTATCGAGATTGGCGGCAGCTTAATCTGTCCGTATATGCGTATGTACCTCCCGTACATGAGATCAGATGGAGGCTGATTAGAAAACGTGGGAAATCATTGGTGCTTCTTCGACAAGTCTGTGGGGAAGCAGAGACAACGTCAGACACAAGAGCGATGGACGTGGCAGTGGCCGGCGGCGGATTCCCAGACGGTCCTGAGACCTCGAGATTTTCGGCGCCGCTTACCGTGTTTGATCAGCCTCGCGAGCCCCTCGCAGTAGCGCTCTCCACAGAGTAGCGCTAATGATCACCACTGGTCAAGCAGGCATCATGGCCACCATTCATCCGTCTCCATTTTGAAAGGCTCTTCATTGCGGAGTCTCGGCGATGGCTTCTGAGATGGGAGATGGACGTCAGATGGACCCTGGGGCAGCCTCCCCCATCGATGGGATATTAAAGGGCACAACCTCGACGTTGAAATCCGGGGTTGATCACTTCAATCATCACTTCCATCTCCAAGCAATACCTGAGCCGACCTGAGTGAGCAGAGCCAGCTTGTCTTCTTCGTTCCCGTCTCAAAACCACAAACACCAAAACACACACACCCAGTTGCTACAATGGCACCAGTCGCCACTGCCGACATCGTCGAGAATGTCCCCTCTGGCAAGGCCATGGACAGTGTCTCCGACGCCATTGACGAGGTAAACGTCATCAAGTATGACGAGGATTCCAAGTTCGATGCCGAGAAGGACAAGAACACCTTCCGTCAGTACGAGGACGCCTGCGACCGCGTCAAGAACTTCTACAAGGAGCAGCACGAGAAGCAGACCGTGGCTTACAACCTTGCTGCCCGCAACCGCTTCTACAGCTCTTCTCGACCCCGCCCCAAGATGACCATCTGGGAGGCCATGGAGAAGCTCGACACCCTCGTCGACGAGTCCGACCCCGACACCTCACTCTCTCAGATCGAGCATCTGCTCCAGTCCGCTGAGGCCATCCGACGAGACGGCAAGCCCCGATGGATGCAGCTGACCGGCCTGATCCACGATCTCGGCAAGCTCATGCTCTTCTTCCCCGAGCTCGAGACCCAGGGCCAGTGGGACGTCGTTGGCGACACCTTCCCCGTCGGCTGCGCCTTCGACAAGCGCATCATCCTCCCCGAGACCTTCGCCGCCAACCCCGACGTCAACGACCCCATCTACAGCACCCCCAACGGCATCTACACCCCTGGCTGCGGTCTCGACAACATCATGCTCAGCTGGGGCCACGATGAGTACCTCTACCACGTCGTCAAGGACCAGTCCACACTCCCCGACGAGGCCCTGGCCATGATCCGCTACCACTCTTTCTACCCCTGGCACCGCGAGGGCGCCTACCACCAGTTCATGGTGGCCAAGGACCACGAGATGCTCAAGGCCGTCAAGGCATTCAACCCTTACGATCTCTACAGCAAGAGCGATGGCGTTCCCGACACCGCTACTCTCAAGCCCTACTACATGGAGCTGATCAACGAGTACTTCCCCAAGGGTGTCATTGAGTGGTAAACCGGTTTTGTGGCATCGATAAAAGTGGCATCGATAAAAAAGAGCAGCAAATAAGCGAGTGATATTCGGACATGATGATTGAATTTGGGCAAATGAGTATTTTTAGGCATATCAAATGAGATATAATCCAATACAATGACTTCGGTTTTTTTTCTTTGTTACTTGTGTTATCCCCGTTATCTCTCAACTCAGTTGATACACGTGCATGGGGCCGTGGGGCCGATTTGACCCTATCGCATAAACGACCATCACCCGTTTTCCACTGTAAATCGGAGCGTTGTGATAACAACGCGTAAAGAATCGTATGTTGTAGGGTGCTGGGGTTTCGAGAAATTCTGCAACGCTGGGAAAGGATGCGACGATCGAATCCTGCGGACGCCAAGGACCTTTGTTGCGTGAGCCATCACCTTGTCACCTCACGCTGGGTTACACCGATATGACATTGCGACACGACTTAAGGCTGAGGCTTGAATTTTGAACTAGCGGTCGCGAGTCTCTTAGTGCCTCCCCAAGATCACCCAGGCCAATCAGTCAGGAGGATATACGAGAACCAGCCCGGGAATTACGTTGTTAGCTGAAGCTTACATTGCGACTCTATGATGTGTCAGCTGCCTTGTTCTAGCAAAGGGGAGGAATTGGCGGTGATGCTTGTGAAATGAGACTCTCATGTCGATGTCGGATGTTGGCCGTCTTTTCCCCGAGACAGACGCCTGGCCCTGCAGAATAAGCAACACGGGACGCTCCTAGGCGAACGGCATGAATGATTAACTGCCTGCAGGGCCGAATTCCGAGCGCATGCACCTGCAGGTGCCGTCACCCAATCCATGCCAGTCGGGTTGGGCTTGGCACGGACCCAGAAAAATACGCCGGCCGTGCACCTTGATAGCCAGGATGGACCTCTTTGTCCAGCCGCTCTATCTAAACACTTGTCGGGCAGGTTCGGGACGCCGTCTGAAGCTATAGGTGAGAGGCTGGGACGAGTCATGAACCTTGCATGAAATGAAGGACCCGGCTTTGGTGTCGATTCGGAGGTGAGCGGGAGCTTGGTCGATCCATAACCAACGAGCGAGTCCCGCGCCCGTGGGGACGGCCTGCCATCAGCCAGAGAAATGGCGTAAGAAGAGACATCCCTTAGAAGATGCATCCCTAATCAGCTCACACTTGCTGATGCCCCTTGTCCCTGTGTGCTGGCAGGTGATCTCGAATCTTCTCCTTATCCTACCTCGATTCCCCGCCCTTGCTTCGCTCCCTCCTCTAAACCTAACTTTGTTTCTTCCTCATCTTGCCATTGAGCTCTACTTCCCCAGCCAACAATAACAAAGATACGCGGCTTCAGCCCACTTGATAAGAGGTACCAACAACCATGGACGGAGCTCCCAACTTCCTCAACATCCCTGCTGAGATCCGCATGTTAATATACGACCTCCTGCTCGACAACAGCGGCCAGAAAACAATTGCCATCCGGAACCAACGCCGAGAGAAGCCGAAGGAGGAGCCGGGGCGGCCCAAGGCCCTGCGCAGATCCAGCTACAATGTCCTGGAGCGGACATTCTACTGCCGGGCCTACGAAGCCACCTACGGCCTCGCAAGCAGCGCAGACCTGCACCCGGCCATCCTGGCCGTGAACCGCAGAGTCAGACAAGAGGCCTCGCATCACCTATATGGACGGCACGCCTTCCACTTCGGAGAGGACCTGGAGGCGGTGGGGCCGTTCATCGAGGACAAGACGTGGTCCACGCGAGCGCTGGTGAGGGACATCACGCTCCACAAGAGCGGTCTGGCATCGACGGCCAAGACGGACTCGTGCGACTGGGGCAGCATCTGCCGGTCGCTGGGCGCGCTGCCCAAGCTCAGGACGCTTCGGCTCGTTATCGAGGGAGGGCTCCCTCGGCGGGAGTGGGAGGGGCCCCAGGAGCTTAGCGTGTCCGATCTTCGGCTGCTGTACGCGACGCGGCACGAGGTCCTCGAGTGGGTGAGGGACCTGGCCCAGGTCGGCACGCTCGAGGAGCTGGAGATTGTCGCCTCCAGGACCGCGGTGCCAACGCCCACCAACAACACGACCTTCATCTTCGCGGCCTTCTCGGCGTCGATTGAGACGTCCCTGATCGAGTTCCTGAACGAGCTGGATATACCCGCCGTAGCGGGCATGAGGGAGTGAGCGCCAGCCGGGGCGATGATGTGATGAGGTGACGAGGTGACGTGAAGACGATATCGACTGCAGCTTAGCTGTTTAAAATGATGTGGCGTTTGGGTAGCATGGATTGCTTGCATCGTTCTCTGAGATTGGTCCGAAGCTGGGGAAGCATTTTTTTGGAGTCCTTGGGGTAGCGATTTGAATTTAGTATGTGGATTTGATGGTAATAAAAAGCAGGGAGCTACTGGCTGTTCGTCCCAGTCCCAATGCAAGTGCAAATTCAAGAACACGAAGAATATGGACAATTGGTTCTTGGTTTGAATTTCGTCAATAAAATTCTGGTGAATGGCTGCTATCAAATCGATAAAGCGACCTCAATGTCAATAGATTTGCCCACCTGCATGATGATAAGACCTTATCGATAGCAAGCTAGAAACAGGTATCTGCTGTCACTATACGAGGTTAGTTTCATCGGGGGTTATACAATTGCGATTGATGATCTCCCCAATCCATAAGCCTCCCGGCTAGCCTTCTGGAATAACAGCCATCTCATATTTCCTGGAACTCATCGTTGCCGGTTTACAAACTACAACGGTTCAACGGTTGGGTCATGCAAGAAGGTGGAGATAACAGGTTCGTGCTCTGTTGATGGCGGTAGGTACCTTAGGAGCTAACCAGCACGTGATACTGCTAATGCGGGTACGGCCTACAGTGGTTGCGTGGTGTGGCTTGAGCGGCCAGGCACCCAAATTACCGCTAACCAGCTGCCTAGAGGCCCTGGAGGCTGGAGCTGTCAACCGCCCGCTTACCGTCGTCACCACGCACAGCCACAAGCGCATGGATTGACCTCTACCAAACTACTTCCCCCCAGTCCTCCTCCAAGCATCGCATCTTCCTCGAGTCCCGCGCTCACCTTCGCACCCCCACAGTAGCCTGTCAATGTCCATGTAGGCGAGCGACTCAATCAGCTGGCCCGGAAGCTACAGAACTTGACGTATCCCGCCGCCAGCTCCAAGCCGCATACGTTGCTCAGTCACCACCCGAGCAAGCTTCAAGATGACGACTCCAGCCCCCGTTGAGGACCAGGCCCGCCTGCTTGAGGATGCCTTGGTCGCAGTCCGCCAGCAGACCTCGCTCATGCGCAAATGCCTAGAAACCCCCGGGAAACTTATGGACGCCCTGAAATGCTGGCAAGTAGTCCCTAATTCTCTCGCAGCCTGACTCGCTCCGATTCATGTCAGCGCTGGGTCAAGCTAACAGCTGTTATTACCTCAGTTCAACACTCGTTTCCGAACTACGGACTAGCAGCCTGGGACCGAAACAGTACTATGAGCTCTACATGGCCGTCTTTGACGCCTTGCGATACCTCTCCGTGCATCTCCGCGAAAACCACCCAGTCAACCACCTCGCGGACCTCTACGAATTGGTCCAGTATGCCGGCAATATCATCCCGCGACTCTATCTCATGATTACCGTGGGCACAGCCTACATGTCCATCGCAGATGCGCCCGTCAAGGAGCTTATGAAGGACATGATGGACATGAGCCGCGGTGTCCAGCACCCCATCCGCGGTTTATTCCTGCGATACTATCTTTCCGGCCAGGCCCGGGATTTCCTACCAACCGGAGAAGGCGATGGACCAGAGGGTAACTTGAGCGACTCAATCAACTTCATTCTCACCAACTTTGTCGAAATGAACAAGCTCTGGGTGCGCTTACAACACCAGGGTCACTCTCGCGAGCGGGAAGCGAGGCTGCGGGAGCGGAAGGAGCTGCAGCTTTTGGTCGGCAGCAACATTGTGCGACTCAGCCAACTTGTTGATCTGAACACGTACAAGGCCAGCATTCTGGATCCACTTCTGGAACAGGTGGTGCAGTGTCGGGACGTTTTGGCTCAAGAATATCTTTTGGAGGTCATCACGCAGGTTTTCCCTGATGAGTTTCACTTGCACACACTCGATCAGTTCCTGGGCGCCGTATCGCGCCTCAACCCCCACGTTAATGTAAAGGCCATCGTGATTGGGCTTATGGACCGTCTGTCGGAATATGCGGAACGGGAAGGACCCGGCGACAAGGATGAAGACAAGGCAAAGGCAGAGTCGGAGGCTTTGGCTAATCTGCTTGAGAAGGTCAGGCTGCAGAAGGAGGCACCACCCCCAGTGCAAGCGCCAGCGCCAAAGAAGACTGATTCAGAAGACGAAGCTGGTGCTCCTGCGGAGGAGAACGGTGAAACTAAGGAGACGCCAGAGGAACCTGCAGCGCCTGCAGCGCCTGCTACGGAGGATGATGCCAGCACTATTGCCGAGCAATCTGCCCCGTCAGTAGCGGAAACCGAAGCGACTGCAGTAAACGGACAGGAAGCTGAGCCAACCCCGCAGAATGTGCAGCTTTACGAAGTGTTCTTCGGCCAAGTCAAGAACCTGGTTGAAGCGCAGCATCTACCCATCCAGGACATCATCGCCCTGTTGGTATCTCTGTCAAACCTCGCTCTCAATATCTACCCCGAGCGGTTGGACTATGTAGACCAGATTCTCGCCTACGCAACAACAAAAACCAAGGAGCACATGAACAGCGCCGACCTTCATTCCGCACCAGCACAGCAGAGTCTTCTTGCACTTCTCCAAGGGCCTTTGAGTCGATATGTCTCCATCTTTACTGCGCTGTCGCTCCCCACCTATGTCTCCCTATTCCAATCCCAAACATACCCTACCCGCCGGGCTGTCGCTGGCGGTGTTGCTCGCACGATCTTGAAGAATCAGACCAAGATATCCAAGCCTGAGCAACTGGAGAATGTGCTCGAGGTTCTCAGCGTACTAATCAAGGAAGGCACACAAGCCCCTCAAACTTATCCCGGCGCACCTCCGAGACGCGCTGTCGAGACCGATGAAACGATGGAGGAGCAGGGATGGCTGGCTCGAATCGTCCACCTTCTTCAAGGCGAAAACAACGACACTCAGTACAAGTTGCTGCAGATGGCACACAAGGCCTTTGCGGAAGGAAACGATCGCATCCGAACCACCACTCCTCCATTGATTACGGCCTCGTTGAAGCTGGCTCGCCAGTTCAAGATCCGTGAACACCTCGAAGACAACTGGGAAACTCAAAGCAATTCCCTTTTCAAATTCATCCATTCCGCTCTTAGTATTCTCTACACACGCGTAAATGGTGCCGGCGCAGCCGAGATGTCTCTCCGCCTCTTCTGCAACGCCGGCCAAACCGCCGACCTCACTGGATTTGAAGAGGTAGCCTACGAGTTTTTCGCTCAAGCCTTCACTGTGTATGAAGAGGCTGTAACCGACTCCAAGGCACAGTTCCAGGCTGTCTGCGTCATTGCCTCAGCCCTTCACCAAACTCGTAACTTTGGCAGGGAAAATTATGACACCCTCATCACCAAGTGCGCTCAGCACGGCAGCAAACTGCTCCGCAAACCAGACCAGTGCCGTGCCGTCTATCTGGCAAGTCACCTGTGGTGGGCCACACCATCAGTTTCCAACGGAGAGACCGATGAGACAGAGGTTCGTCACATCCCATCCGTATGTAGTAATGAAATCTTGGCCAACTAACTCGTCCCAGCTCTACCGCGATGGCAAACGTGTCTTGGAATGTCTGCAGCGTGCTCTCCGAGTAGCCGACTCCTGCATGGAAACGGCTGCATCTATCGAGCTCTTCGTGGAGATTCTAGACCGCTACGTATACTACTTCGACCAGCAAAATGAATCTGTTAGCTCTTCCCACCCCCTCTCCTCCCAGTCTACAAAGCAATCCCCACTAACTCGAATCTACTAAATCCAGGTGACCACGAAATATCTCAACGGTCTCATTGAACTAATCCACTCTAACCTTAATGGCAACCAATACGACTCGGCTTCCGTCGAGGCTAGCCGCAAGCATTTCTTCCAGACCCTGGAGAACATCCGCAGTAGACAGTTTGAGGGCGTAGTTCTGGACGCGAAGTGAGGGAGCATCTTGACTTTATACCTTTTTTTCTCTCTCCCGTTCTGTTGAATCACCGTCATCAATCAATGTCTGTTGGCTCTTCGCTCCCCGACCACACTCAGTTCCTCCCTCTGCAAGCTCAGCGTGTTACTTTTCACTTCCCCTCCCCCCTTGCCTATTGAAAGAATGTCTAGATAGTAAGGACGGCATTTGGAATCACTGGTGAAGCCGTCGTAGATTGTTGTATATATGTATATTTTTAAATCAGGGAAAAGAAAGACAGCCGAAAGGTTACATCCCTGAATGCGAGACTGAGTTTTAAATACTTTACGCGAATGCTCGCAAATACTTACGTTAAAAGGAGGCGTATTCGTAAGACAGCGTGCGGCCAGAAACATCAGTAAAGTAAGAGGAGAAAAAAAAAGAGTGCAATTCATTTGTCTCCTACACGAACACGTGCTCCTGATTTCTATCTAAAAGCGGCTTTGAACAAACAGAAACATTACGACCAGAGATGGAGAAGATAGTATATGACAATAAGGAAAAAGGAGGCCTTCGTTCGAGCCGCTAATATTTGAAATGCCCTATCAGGACTAACCCAAGACCAAAGAAAACCAGCAAAGTAGATATGTCGAGGGACCCGCGTCACCTATAGTTGAGGTGCCGAGTGCTGTGAGATACCAGAATGAAAAACCAGTCCAGAAACGCCGTGCAAAATGCGTTGTTCAACATCGGCGGGAAGCCCAAACCAGATGTGTGCGTGAGTGTGTTGTGTTTGTGCGCTGCGGCAAAGTTTGCAGCACTCCCAAATAACCGCTGCCTAGGTCCATGGGTTATCGAGAACCCAGCCTCCGGGATAGATATGGGGTAAAAGAAATACGGAATAAAAATCATGTGCATAATAAGACCGGGGAAACAGGCGGCTTGCAGGGGTTGATATCTTCATACGTCTCAAACATCGTACAGCTTCTATTACAATTCTTATGTCGTTAAGGACTCTGCTGCATTTCGAATGAGCTCTGCCGTCTTCTGGATATAGCGCTCTGCCTCGCCCCAGTTCTTGTCGTCCACCATATCGCGGATGGCTGGGAAGAAGGCCTCATCGTAGCCGGACCATAGTTGGGGCCCGAAGACTACATGCTTGAATTGGTTGCGATTTGGTATCTGAATTTACAATGTTAGTACAAAGGCAACTTCGAGGAGAGAGAAGAAAACTTACACCACCGCCTTGTTCAGTGTCCAGGAGGAGCGTATCGAAGGTACCCATCCGGTTGTTGTAGCCTATTCGAGCCCCTCCGATTTCGCTTGTTTCCCAGCCTCCATTTCGTGCTGTCAATTCCTCCCACCGCTGTTCCCACTTGGAGAACTCGCCAGCTTTTGTGACGACAAGGCTAGCAGCATCCCTGAGCTCTTGGAAAGGTAGAGATACACCCTCATCGATTTTCGCTGACGCCCATTTTTCCAGATTGTCAACCCACGTGCCAAGTTTGCGGCCGTATGCAACTAGGTCGAAGGGAAGAATCAACCGATCGGCGACATCAAGAATAATGAGACCAACAACTTGAGCCATCAGACCATGGTAGACAAAGTCGGGGTCAATCACCTTTTCGACAAGCTCGAAGTTGTCGTAAGATGAGTGATAGGGAAACTTTTCACCACGAAATTCGAGATCCAAAGAGCTAGTGCCAGCAATATCCTGAAAGGCAACGTAATCACTTCCCGCGCCAAGTCCCTCGAGTTCTCCGTGCCTATCATTCCAGAGCTCTCTCAAGGTATGGTTCCGTTTGGGGTCTGCAATACGGTTGAGGGCTCGTAGAAGAGTTTGTTCGAAAACGGGAGAGCCAGAGGCGTGGAAGTCGTCACCTGCAACGGCAGTGTCCAGGTTAATATAGGCATATGCGTCGTTACGTAGAGTTTCGAGATTGTTTTCGACGAATTCGGTAGAACCGATAAGGTTGTACTCCTCGGCATCCCATGACATGAACTGGATAGTTCTCAGCGGCCTCCAGCCTCGAGCAACGAGGTCTCCAAAAATTCGAGCCATCTCAATCATGACAGCAGTACCAGAGTGTGGATCTGCTGCACCAAAGGACCAAGCATCGCGATGGTTCCCAATAATGATAGACTTGGCAGACTGCTCCATACCGACAATCTGTCCATAGACATTCCAAATGGGCTGCTTGGTGTTTTCATCCTGCTCGTTGCGAAGACGGACAACAGGAGACTTTGCATCTCCAGTCCACCATTCGTCGACCTCGGGCACGCCACCCTTCCATTCCTCAGGCACTCGCTCACCGTGTCCCTTAAGATTCTGGAGCAAAACCTGCGCATCTCGCCATGCAAGAGGAAGACTAGGGATTTTCACCAGCGCAGGGGCATCCTTGGGCTTTATTCTCGGCTTGCCCTTGATACTTGGCCAACCTGGGGTGAGTACGTCCCCGACAGCCCAACTCATTAGACTGACTGCGCCTCTCTGGACACCGTCCGGAGGCATGAAACGGCCCTTTGGGGCTACCTCGCCCTTCACAAATCCATCGTCAGCCGGGTCACTGTAAATAAGGCAGCCTGCAAAACCAGCAAGCTCCGCTGCCTTGACTTTCAACGCGCGATCAGTCTGTGTGCCATAGTATCGCACCAGGGCGATAGCTCCCTCAGTGTCAATTCCCTTGTCCTTGAGCTTCTTGAAATCTTCTCGAGACCCATAGTTGGCATAAATCAAGGGGCCCTTGACATCGCCAGACTTCGAATGGCCGTGGAATGCGTATGGCTGGTGGCCCGACATCTCTTGTCCTCGTTCAATCTCGTCCAACTGAGCCGTCCAGATGACAGTGTCTCCTTCCACAATCTGCACGGATCGTCCGTCCTTGCGTGGGTAGTTGATGTAAACCTCGTATTCGTCCACGGAGACTTGGTCAAGTCCCGCCTTAATGAACATGCTCTTGACGTCCATGGCCGTGGCGTAGTCACCTTCCGTACCAGCAATATGCGCATACTTTGAAAAGTGCAGCACGGAGGCACGCAGTCTTCTGGGTTCCACGCTCCCAAGAATGTGGACACGTAGATCTTCTGCGCGGAATCGAAAGCCTCCATTCATACGGCCGCCAAAACTACTAAAGAAATCGGTCGCGAAAACGAGATAGAGGAAGCCGAATATAATTGTGACGGCCAGCACTCGAGCAAAGATGAGCAGTACCACCATGCCGTTGACACCGGGGAAGGCCCAGCTCCGACGGGGAGGTGGGTTTGATTCCGAGTCTTCGTCATTGTTCCGGCTCTCCTCTGTTGCTCTGGTTTCTTCGCCGTCGTCCTCTGGCCGAGACGGTAATTGAATTCGCATCCTTGGTAATGATATCCGGGGTAGCCTCGGTCGCCAGGACCATTTCCATCGCGGTAGAGAGAATCCTATTCTTTTTCCCCATGAGAGTCCTCGCGAGGATGTGGGCTCTTCAATCTCCATCTCCTCCACCTCCCGCCTCACTTGGGCGGCTTCCTCATCATCGGTGTCGCTCTCGAGCAGGCTCGCAATATCGGAATCATCGGACTCGACTGTCGGCGGGTGGTAGCCATTAGGATGCCGAGATGAGCTTCCAGCTCCATTCGAGCGATGCAGCAGCCCCTGCGCTTCGGTTTGTTCTAATACATCGTCTTCGTTGTGGGTTCGAGGGGGTGGCCAAGTCTGGCCGTGGCGACTGCTACCCGCCAAGGCCTGATCGTATGTCGGCGGTATGGGATCGTAAAAGGGCTGCTTCTCGGAGGGCGGCATGATGGGCTATCTGGATGCGCAACGGCGCAATCGTCGAAGGGGAAGTCAAGGAATGGCTGACGGCCATGGGACCAGAGACGGCCCAGATCCCACGAGGGTGCGAATGAGTGACGGGTGCTGAGGCAGGGTGTTCAAAGCAAAAGAGAGTGGAACCCAGAGCGTGCTCGCGGGTTAAGCAGACAGACACAGGATGGGATTCTAAGCGCAGACTACGTCTCTTGATGGGATCACGAAACACTCTCGTGCATCCTTACATCTGAACGTGAGCATGGGGACTGGACACGGGCCAGGGGAGGAGGGAGGCACCGAACGATGGACGCCAACACTAATAAGTTAGCCAGGCCTTACCTTATCGTCCACGTAAGTGAGAACAGAGCGATGGCCCCCTACTGAGCCCACTTGCACGCCCATTTGCAGCGCTGCCCAGAGCCAACCCTGCTGAGCTAAGCAGCCAAGCCACATCTGCGGGCAGTCTATTGGCCCGCGGCCTGGGGCTGTGGCCGGACCCTGCTTTGACCCTGCAGTTACAGTGGGAGGAGTTATTCCAGCCAAGACAGGGAGCATACGTAATTCCGCTCAGGAGCCTTCTGTTCGCGATTGTCTAATCACGGGCTGGAGCAAGCAGAGGGACCGGAAAGAAAGCGAGAAAGCCGACGGTATGATGCAGGGCAAGCCATTGTATTCATACCTCGTCAGGAGGCAGCGGCCGACATCAGACAACCTGATTCGCGAGGCCTCGAACTGTCGTAGCGAAGAGTCCGCTGCAACTTTAAGGCAAATTACCGGGATTTCTAGGTCTTTGCGGGGTATCAACGCTGCGCCGGGATTTGACCATCCCGAGGCCTCCGGAACATCACCAACATCTATTCGAGCAGAAGATGAAGGAGATCAATCAATGTCTACTATACGAAGGTGAAGAGCGCATCAAAAGAATTTCACCATGATGAAGAAAAGAATCCATATCCATCCCATAATATCGTAGAGCTAGCACCTTTCCTGGCAGGGTTCCATTAATTTTCTGTATCGAATTTGTCCTTCTGTCTTTCTTGCTCCTTTTTTTTATATTTTTTTGTTATATTTTCGATTTGGCAACATAACACCCATGTTACGCTTTGGTGCCATTGTTGAAATCGCTCACCGACACCAGCTTGCCGACAACCTCGTACTTCTCGTTGAACCTGTCCTCCCAGCCCTGGAGAGCCTCCATCTCATCCGCGCCGAGCCCCTCCAGCGTGTCCAGGGGACCGTCCAGGTCCTTGGTCAGCATGTCCTCGTCGAAGCTGCCGCAGGCAAGACCACGGCTGGCGTCACGGCCAGCAAAGTTGGAGTACGGGCCGCCGGGGCCGTAGAAGTTGCGGCCACGGGAGACATCGAAGACGCGACCGCGGACGGCAAAGAAGATCGGCTTCCCGTCCTCTCCGTTGAAGGGGAGGAGTGTGTGGGGTGTGTAGGTCTTGAAGACAACTGCGGGAGGTGGGGGAGGCAGCTGGGCGCTGGGCGAGGGTCGCGAGAAGATCATGTAGGCGACGTAGGCCAGCAGGCCGGTGAGGGCGATGTTCAGAGGAATGAACAGAGGGGACCTTGGTGAACGTTAGCAACGAGAGGTAGATGGATAGATGGGTGATACCAGGGGAGACCATACTTCGCCGGGTCCGTAATCGTCTGGTCAGTGTTATCCATTGCGAAAAGTAAACGCTCGTACTATGCGAGAATTTCTGTTTATGCAAGGGGCGACTACGCGATGTCTTATTCAAAGGCGAAATAACCCGAATATTCGCTTGTGGTAGTTGTTGTTGAGCGAGGATGGCGGAAAGGCAACGTGCTTACCAGCGCATTGCGAATGGCCGGGCATAAAGCACTAAATACAAGGTATGTGGCTAAGCACAGGTGGGGGATGGGATCCGCTGCCGGGCTGGCGGTACTTGTGCGACAACGCGCTGCCTAACAGGAGAGAGGTACTTGCCTGTAACCGCGGAATAATTGATGGCAGATGGTAAGAATTCCCGAGGCCTACCAGAACAGGTAATTTCTTCGAAAACATATACATAATCTCTGTTAATATCGGAGAAAATACCAGGTAACTTCTCACCATTTCCGCCCAGAGCTACCCACTTTGCCGACTTCAGCATCTTCCGCCGGCGATGCCTTTCCATAAGCGTCTATCGCTTTCCAATGAGCAACGGCTACATCGGGGAATTGAAAGCTGACGCACCGAGGCCACTACAAGACGTTCCGAGAGAATATCGAAACAACCAATACAGTACCAATGAAAGAAACCATACATACTACTAAATCAAATGACTCCGTACTTAGAATTGAAGTTGTTCCTAACTATCAAGAGATCCCAAACACACCCTTACTTCAATAAGATTTGGCTTCAGCAATAAGCTGGGCCAGAGACATGATCAGCAAAAGTGAACCGAAGTTGAGCATTTATTACGATGTATGTAGGCGGCCGAAACCCTGCGTCTCTACGCGAACAAAAGTAAAGAAAACGACAAATTTGAAAAAAGAAAAAAGAATAGCACATGGAGAAACGGGGATTTGAACCCCGGACCTTTTGTAGTGTATGTTTTCGCATGCAAAACAAACGTGATGCCCCTACACCATTTCCCCAATGGTACAATAGTGCAAGGCTAAATTCTACATATTAGCCTCTGGCATCACCTAGTTGAAACTGACACTAGCAGATTCCTAAGCTTTGCACAACCAAGCTCAACCTCATGACATATTTAACCGTGGTAGTAGACAATTGACTTCGTATTGACAAACCGGAGCGCTCTATTGACGTCTATCCCGTGATACTCCTTTTTACCCATGCATAAAGTACATAAGCCCCTTCCGCTTCCGGGCCCTTTGAGAGGTGTTTCGATCATGTCGATCATGGAAAAACAAAGCTATGATCCTCGCAGATATACTGCCCCAAAAGCCCTGGTATCATCCAACAGGTATTATACAAATATTATCACAGGCTTTTATGTTTTTTTTTTTTTCGGTCGTAGATGAGTAATTATGGCATTGCAAAACGTTCAGAGACTAGTACCAGTCTCTGCCACTCTTTTGCATTTCAATGAGACGCCATCCTCGGGTCTCTGGGTTGTTGACATCTTCGGGCACGCGGGTAATACCGATGGCATAGGTGACAAGCTGGACCTTGTCCTCCATACCAGCAGCGAGCTCATTCGTCTTCTTGTTGCGGTATACATGTACCTCTTGCGTGCGGCAGGTGATGATGAAGACAGGAATATCGCCAGGTTCCAGGATGCGGGCACGAAGAATATCAACGTTACGTATGTCGAGAATGCGTCCGTCCGTCTTCATGCCTGCTTGGGCATATTGCTTTGTCAGAGCCTCATAAACAGAGAACTGGGCGGCAGAGAGCCACATCTTCAGGGTTGCGATATCGCCCTTGACGTAGGCGTCCAATACTTCGGGCAAGATATACTCGCGAAGTTCCTGGAGGAAGGGCTCGACATGGAAGTTGGGGTCCATGGTGCGGAATTGCTTAATGACCATGGCGGTCTCGTTCTCGGCGAAAAAGCCAGCAATTCGGTCAGTTATGCTCCTGGCGGTGGACACCAGAGGGTTCTCTGATTCCTCGTATTTATCCTTCATAGAAAAGATGCCCTGGACGATCTTATTTTGATCGCGGAAGTCTCTCCAGGCTTCCTTCCAAGCCGCATCTTTGTGGAGTGTGATATTGGTGCCAGCCCTGTTGCTATTAGTATTAAGGTTTGCGATATAATGGAGCCGAAATCAAGACTTACTCAGGGTCTTCTTGCATGACTTGGCCGTCTCTGCCACGGCTCTTTTCTAGCATCTCTCTCCTTTTCCTTCTCTCTTCCTTCTCAACCCAGCCACCGTAGCGCGAAGAGCTACCATCGTCGATAACGTTCTTCACGTTCTTGTAAGCCTCGGTGTCTCGGATTGGCTTAGTAGCCTGATCCAAAGCATCACCTGTGACGTTGGCAGCCTTGCGCACTCCCTTGACGACAGAGGTATCCCATGTCCAGGCAGCTCCCTTTCCAATTGCTCCAGCCGTGGTTTTAATGGCACCCGAGGCAGCAGAGGACACAGCGCCTGTGGACTTCTCATAAGCCTCACGCGCCCTGCGTACTGACTCGCTTTCGCTGAACTGGTGAGCGGCGGCACCAATTTGCTTTGTAGATTCGTTCCATTCCGTTGACTTCTGGAACTCGGCGTTCATGGTTTCGGTAAACACCTGCCATGGGGTCTTGTCACCGTGGGGGGGTGGTGGGGGCAAATCGTCCTTCTTGGCCTTGTCGTCCTTTCCTTCTTCTTTGCCTTCACCCTCTTCAGACTTTTCGCTCTCCTCTTGCTTCTTAGCCTCCGCATCATCGGCCTTGGGCTTCTCTTCGGGGGCAGGCTCTGCTGCTTTTGGCTCAACCTTCTCCTTGTTCTCCTTATTCTCTTGGTAAGATCGGGCGCTTGCATGAAGTTGTCGGGTCATGAGCGCAGCTGAAGGGGACAGGCGAAGTTCGGACGGCAATAGAAGCGGCCGCAGGGGCGACAGCGTTGCGCCATTGGGGACTCTGCTTTGTGTGCCGAAGGTGCTTCGGTTGGGCAATTGCGACAACTGCGAATTTAACCTCCTATAGGCCGGCGATCTTCCTGCAGCAGAGCCTTTCACGCTGAAGGATGCTCGGACAAGAGCATTATCGGCGGTACGAGCATTTCGAAGAAGGGAGTTCATTGTGGAAAAGGGGAGATGCCTTCCAAGGCTGGTGGGCGTGGGGTAGACGAGGCGGATGTTGTAAGTCGAGAAGCACCAAGTCACTCAAACTGGCAATTCAAATTTTTGGGGTTGCTCCCGATCAGATCTATCGGCTTCCATGGGGAAAGGGAAGGCGGAGAGGCGGCAGAACCTCGGCCGAGTTCGGACCCAGGTACCAGGTATCTTTCCACCTCCACCAAGGAAAAAGTGCAATTGCAATTGGGCAACATCAGCTCGAGAAACTCACAATTGCACCCTCCACGACGATGAGCCGGACATTTTTGAGTCGCTTTGCGACGTCAAGTCTCCTCCGAGGGGCATGTCCCTCCGCGCAACGTAGCCCTCTTCAGGGCATCCGGGCATTCACGCAAACCGCCCGGCGACAGGAGGACAATGTCCCAAAGACCGACAAGCCCACGTCCAGGCGCCTGCTTCGGGACCTCTACGGAAATCCAGAAGCACCGAATGCAGTACCAACCGAGATCAATTCCATGGCAGCTCTATCACAAAGCGCCGTCTTCAAGTCAATGAGCTCGTCCCACATCGATACAAGCGCTCTTTACGGTAACCCCAGTGTACCCAAGACCAAGGACCTCGACCCTTACCATTTCCACATCTACGCGACCAAGCACAATACACATATTACCTGCACGAGGCCCAACAGAGAACCAATCATCTCTCTCTCCGCTGGCAACCTGGGCTACCGAAAATCTCGGCGCGGGGGCTTCGATCCCGCCTACTCTCTCACGAAGTATGTGATCGAGCGACTGATACACGACGGCTGGCCAATGAAGATCAAGAGGCTCGAGGTTGTTCTCCGAGGGTTTGGACAGGGTCGTGAGGCTGCCATCAAAGTTCTGATGAGCCCTGAAGGCAGGATTCTACGGGAAAAGATCGTCCGGGTTGCCGATTCGACCAGGATCAAGTTCGGTGGCACAAGGAGTAAGAGACCAAGACGTTTGTAATGGAGCGTTTGCTGTAATAAGATTTGTACAATTTGTACCATATACATAAACCATGTGGAAAGTGGAAAAACCACTGTTGCTTTATTTCGATGTCCAAGAAAATATCAAGACGGCCCATGTGATCTAATATTGAATTAAGGCCAGAAACGCCTGCCAACGCCATGCCAAACACACCCAAATTCCCAGTCCTGTGGTGGACGGAGGAAATCAAGACAAAATGAAAAGAGAGCAAAGGGTGACCCATGAGCCAACTGAAAGGCGTGCGCTCACCCATCATCGTCGGTTATCCCAGAGAGGTCTGGCTCACGCTATACTGTCTCTTACCCTTGCTTCCACTACCATGACTGTCGCCAGCCCATTCTTCATTGCTGCGTGATCCAGTACCCAGAATATGTGGAGCGTCTTGTGATCTCCCAAGCATACGCGCGCGCTCATCCACAGACTCCTCTCCCAGAAGAGCGCCCTCAGCGGTGTCATAGTCGGGCGGCTCGATCCATTCTTGCGGCACGACACACGGAAATGCAACACCAATGGCTGCTGCGCGGTTCAGCCATGCAGGACCAGGTGTTCCTGTGAGCTTCTGGCACAGGTATGATGTAAAGTGGTTGCAGTTCCGCGTGAGAAGGTTGTATGCCGTTCCTTGAAACTCTTCCGATGCTTCTCGAATCACGTTTTCGATCTCTTCGTCGCTTGCTAGGGTAAATCCGTGAAGGATTTCACATCTGAAGGTACCTCCCGGAGGCTCAGTCTTGGGTCTGGTCCAATAAACGCCGGTTAAATTCTTATGGTCATGCCCGCCATAGGCATACTCTTTCCCATTGATGACGACGGCAGAATGGAGGAGGCCGGCTCCGACGGTCCATAGGATAGAAGAAAGTCGTCCAGGCTGCAGGCACCTAGTTAGCACGGGGGGGTCGTGGAGAAGGTAGCAGCGTCAGAAGGCCAAAAGGTTGGCCAAAACCTACCGGCAGCAGATCGTAGACATTGATGAGGATTTCTGTCTTCTGCATAGATAACGTACTGCGATGCCGCCGGCTGCCACCCGCGCTGGATCGCGGAGGGGCCATTGTTGCTAGAAAGGGCAGTTGGGCAAGAGATTCGGAACAGTGTCTCAGTGTAGACCTCGCAGGTAAATGCAACCACACAAAGGCGGGTATGGCGGGCGGTATATCAGATGGAGAAGGGTTGGGAACGGAAACGGAGTGCTGCAGATGGACAACGCCGGTTCCGAATTGTACTAGTAGGCGACCATTAACTGTGGACAGGACAATATCCAGTCAATACCCAGGTGTTGTCAACAAATTACGGCGTAGGATCGTTTATTTGTCTGCCTGTTGGGGGGAAGGCGCTCGTCGCAAATGCCGTCCCTTGCCACACTGCATGCCTCACCGATTGGATCTGGTTCAAGCGCAACCTGACTGGGGGTGCGTATTGCCTGACGTAGGGAAATACTTTATCCGGCATAGCGCCAATGGCTCTTGACCCAGGTGTTCCAGTGTTAGTGCCTCTTCAGGACATCACACGATGAAACAGAATGAAATATCCATGTATAAATATAGGTCTTCAATGCCTTTACTAGACGACTCATGAGCTAGTCTTAACGCACAACGCTATGCGGGTAGATGGATACCAGGGTAGTGAGACTCTGACATTCATCATGCATAGGAACCATAAAACTACAGAGCCTGGCTCAGGACCAGGATCTTGGTTCACATGACCACCGAAACTCTACTTAAGTCGATTTTCTAATAAATAGCTCCATTTTATTACACGGGGATCGGAACGCAGAGAACGGACTCTGTTTCTCGAATAACAATACCTTCAACGCTCTTCTAGGTCTTTCGTCTCAATGTTTGAGGATGAATGTCTTGGGATCACGTGCGCGAACACGGACATCGGCGTATCTATACATCCGCGGCCGGATTCCACCACCCCGCCGTAAGCGCGATTAGGCTAAGGCAAAACACAACTTTTCACCTAATTTCCCCCCATCATCGTTCTCTTTCTACCAAGAACTTCATCCTGAGAATATTTCGAGGAGCTTGCAAAGTATCACGCGTGCTGTGATCGCGGCTGGAAACAGCCGAAAAGGGTCATCATTTCCTCCCTTCTTCTTTCCCCAAGCTCCTTCACTTCTCTACGTCGCACCTTTTCCCTTTGCGCAGCCCGGCCTGCAGCACTTGGACACCTAGCTCCAACCTCTCCCCTCATCCACCTACGTAATCCCGTCTTCACAGTACGCTTTTACGCGAAGCCAAAGGCGAGAACAAGAGGCATGCCTCCCAAGAAGGCCGTCGTTGAGGAGAAGATCCCTCTGGGTCGTCCCGGAAACAACCTCAAGAGTGGAATTGTATGGCCAGACCTACCTCTCCAAGCTCTATACAGCTGCTAATCAGCTATCTCAGGTCGGCCTCGCCAATGTCGGCAAGTCTACTCTTTTCCAGGCCATCACCAAGTGCGACCTAGGCAACCCAGCTGTATGAAGCCCCTCGTCGCTCGCGCCGTCCTGCAATTGGGGTGCTGACAGCCAAAAAGAACTTTCCATATGCTACCATTGACCCTGAGGAAGCTCGAGTCATTGTGCCTGATGAGCGCTACGATTGGCTTGTTGAGAAGTACAACCCGAAGTCTCGGGTCCCAGCTAACCTGACTGTCTATGATATCGCTGGTCTGACCCGTGGGTCATCCACTGGTGCCGGTCTTGGCAATGCTTTCTTGTCACACATCCGTGCTGTGGATGCCATCTTCCAAGTTGTTCGATGCTTCGACGACGCTGAGATTATTCACATTGAGGGTGACGTGAACCCTACGCGAGATCTCGATATCATCAGCGAGGAGCTGCGACTCAAGGATATCGAATTCGTTGAGAAGGCCCTCGAGAACCAGAAGAAGAAGACTCGCATGGGTGGTCAGAGTCTTGAACTCAAGAAGGCTCGCCTGGAACAAGAGATGATCGAGAAGATTCTTGCCTGGCTCCAGGATGGCAAGGATATCCGCAAAGGAAACTGGACTCCCAAGGAGGTAAGAACTCCTTATTTTTTGCACTCCCACCCCTCTCACAACATACGCAATGTGATGATAAAAGGCCCAATGGCCTGATCTATAAACCCAGCTCTTCGACGTGCCTCAATCATTAACGCTAGAGTGCACCATGAGATAAATGTTTATTCTGACCCTGCAATACACTTCTTCCCTTTCACTCATTCCTCGATCAATTAAGTTTGAGTTGGCACTAACAAAGCCAAACAGGTCGAGGTCATCAACCCTCTTTTCCTCCTCACAGCCAAGCCCGTGGTGTTCCTGGTCAACCTGTCAGAGAAGGACTTCATCCGCAAGAAGAACAAGCATCTTCCCAAGATTGCCGAGTGGGTCAAGGAGCACGCCACTGGCGACCCTATCATCCCCATCTCCGTCTCTTTCGAGGAGAGATTGACTCGCTACGAGACGGAGGCCGAAGCCCTGGAGGAGCAAAAGAACGTGGGCGCCCAGTCCGCTCTCCCCAAGGTCATCCACCAGATGCGCAAGGCGCTTCAGCTGGCCAGTTTCTTCACCACCGGTACTGACGAGGTTCGCCAATGGACCATCCGTACCAACACCAAGGCACCACAGGCCGCCGGTGTGATCCACGGCGACTTCGAGAAGACGTTTATCCAGGCCGTTGTGTACAACTTCAACACACTCAAGGAGCTGGGTGACGAGGCCGAGGTCAAGGCAAAGGGCAAGATCATGACCAAGGGCAAGGAATACGTCGTTGAGGATGGAGATATTCTACTGATCAAGGCCGGTGCTGCCAAGGGTTAAGCAAGACCATTTTCACCCGCAAATGTCACATTTAAAAGTAGATGGAACTTTCAAAAACAGTAAAATACGAGGAATTAATGACCACCCACACCTGTGCTCCTGTCATGAAAGTAACTGTGATATGATTTTCTATGTGTTGAACTTATTCGACCACTTGTTCCTATTACTTACTCTCTTGGTACTCTTTTAATTATCCTCGACTTACGAATCAATGCCACCCGGGCGTGCTGCATTCCCAGCCCGATATGTAGTAGTATCACTAAAAGCATACCACCTGATATCAACTTCTTTCGTTGGTATTTTTGCAGTTTACACTTCTGTCACATGCGAATATTGCAAAGGTCTTTTATTCAACGTCTTGAATTCATTCATTCATTTCATTATCGCTACATGAGCAAAAAAAATCATAATAAGGCTTTTTCCTCTTCAGACAGGTGAGCCGGTCTAGAATGACTCGATTCCTCACCCCGTCGTATCTCATATCCCATCGGCATCAAGAAGATCTAACTCGGATCGTTCATTACCCCATCACAAAATAAATAAATAAAAAAGAAGAAGAAGAAATAAATAGGTAAGAATCGAGGACGGTCCTGCCGCCTTCTCGTACAAATGAAATAGAATCAACCCTTTGCTTGGTGTTTTGTGTATTCTTAGATGCCGCCGTAGCGCACACCACGCTTGCCCAGCTCCTTCCTGCCGACGGCGTCCTCGGGCCAGATCCAGCCTCTGCTGCGCTTGGCCTCGCGCTTCTCGGCCAGCTGGGGCGCGGGGATCCAGCCGTCGCGGGCCTTGGCCTTGCGCCTGGTTCCCTCGGCGGGAGCGCCGACCTCTGACTTCCAGGCCGCGTGGCCGGGGGCGGGGTGGTCGCCGGCCATCTGGCAGAGGCCCCAGAGGGCGAGGCAGGCGGTCAGCTGGGACTGCTGGTCCTCGCCGCTGCCGGTGGCGGCGAGCTGGACGCTGGTGACCTCGAGCTCGCCGAAGAAAGGGGTGGACTCGGTGCCGTTGCGGACGAGGACGAGCTCGATCTCGGTGAGGATGAAGCCGTAGCGGCAGCCGTGCTCGCGCATGGCGTGGTGGATGGCGGCGAGGCCGCGGAGGTACTCGACGCGCTTGATGTTACCCTCGGCGCGCATGCCGGTGTTGAAGCGGTCAAAGGTGCGGACGAGGCCGACGACGCGGGCGGAGGGCTTGCCGCCGAACATGGCGGCGGCGGCGGCGGCCTCGCCAGAGACGTTGGCAGTGAAGAGGAGGTCGTTGACGGCGCTGGGGCCCTTGGTGGCGGCGGGGACGGAGAGCTGGAGAGGACGCTCGGAGCAGAGGGCCAGAGCGGAGTTGAGCTTGGGGAGGTAGTAGGAGGCGTAGATGCTGTGGAGAGCGGCCTCGGTCTCTGGGTGGCGGCTGGACATGGTAGGCTGGGGGAGGACAGGAGCCGGGATAGGGGTGTTGAGCAGCGAGGCGCCAGGGAGCGTGAGGACAGAAGCCAGGTTGAAGGAGGACCAGGTGCGGATGTTGCGAATGTCCCACCAGAAGTGCTTGATGTTGGGGTCACGGTGGGGGAAGGAGACGGTTCGGACCAAGGAGGCAGCCGAGTTGGCACCAGTGAGGAAGGACATGAGAGTGGTGGTGGGGGTTGGCTCCGGGGTAACGTTGACCGAGGCGGCCATGGTCAGAGGAGAGGGCGCACGGGGCGTGTAAGTGGCAGAGGGGAAAGTGAAGTCGGTCTGCTGCATGACAGGCACAGTACGGTAAGATGGGTAGGCGTACTTGTCAGTGGTGATGGCCTCGACGCTGCTGCAGCGGCGGGTGTGAGCCTTGGAAGGATCATGGGACTGGGCAAAGTTGGCGGGAGAGCAGAGCAGCTGGTTGCTGAAGCCATCCTCACGAGGAGGAGTAGGAAAGCTGAAGTGAGGCATGACCATGGCGTTGAGGGTCTCCGGGTTGGTGTAGCTACGAGCATGGCGGAAGGCCTTGGATCGGCGAGCAACAGGGGCAGGTGGGGGGGTAGACATCATGCCAGCAGTGACGGGAGGGAAGCCATCAAGATCCTGATCCTGGGATCGAATCTTGGGAAGCAAGAGGGGACCATGGTTCCGGACAGGAGAGCCAGCTCTTGGCGGAGTGGTCAGGCCGGGGCAGACCGACTCGGGGGGAGAGTCGACGGCCGAGCCAACAGAGTAGATGGAGGCACGCGAGGATGAGCGAGTGTGGCTGGGAGCGTACTGCCTGGGAGCAGCATACTGGTGGAACTCTTGAGGGACCTGGTACT